TTGGGCGTACACACCTACTGAGAGTGCTGGCTACTGAGCTTTGGGAACAGCAGTGCTTAGGGGCAGCAATGCTTAGGGTGAAACTGTGAATAAACCCAGTTTTGGGATAGAATAGAAAAATATCTACGTATGACAGGGGCCAAGGGCTCACATGGAATTCAGGTTCCTAGGATTTCCTGGCTGAAGGAGGAGCAGAGAAAGTGGAGCAGCCAGCTCACTGAGGACGCTGGGCACACAGCCCGTGCACTTCCTTCAGGGCAGAACGGTGGGGACGCTCCTGGACCGAGGCTCTCGGGGACCATGGGCAGGATCTTCACTTTTGTTTGTGGCTAGGATGGGGCAGGTACCTGGATGGAGAAAATTCTGACTTGACAGATCGAGACCATCCTGGTCAACATGGTGAAACCCCGTCTCTACTAAAAATACAAAAAATTAGCTGGGCATGGTGGCGCGTACCTGTAATCCCAGCTACTCAGGAGGCTGAGGCAGGAGAATTGCTTGAACCCAGGAGGCAGAGGTTGCGGTGAGCCGAGATAGTGCCATTGCACTCCAGCCTCGGTAACAAGAGCAAAACTCCCCGTCTCAAAAAAAAAAAAAAAAAAAAGAAAATTCTGACTTTTTTAATGTCTGTGGCTGCAGAAAAATTTTGCCTAATATGGCTTAAAAGGTGAGGGTGACCTAAACATCTTTTGATTTGAGCAAATCCAAGCTCTTGCTAAAGAGTACAAGTTGTGGGGCCTGAGATGCTTGGAACTGAACTGGACCCTTTGGGAAAAGAACAAAAGCCATTTTGTTCACTTTGCCATTCTTGCAAACCTGGTATCCCAGGCTCCTCCCCATTTTGTGACTTTTGACATTTTATAAACTGCCCAAAGCATATACTGTGTGATGGTCAATGGTGGGAGAAACATAGCAGTGAAAGGAGAGAGCCTGTGGGCTTCCTAGTACTGATCACTGTTATCCTTGGACCTGCTCTCACTGTAGGAGGGTTACTCACAGTCCAGCTACTGTAGCAGCAATCCCATGACTTCACAAAAACTCCTGACCAAATCACATTCATCACAATAAAAGGACAGCTGGGCCGGTGGTTCACGCCTGTAATCCCAGCAATTTGGGAGGTCGAGGTGGGTGGATCACGAGGTCAGGAGTTCAAGACCAGCCTGGCCAACATGGTGAAACCCTGTCTCTTCTAAAAATACAAACATTATTCAGGTGTTGTGTGAGCGCCTGTAATCTCAGCTACTTGGGAGGCTGAGGCACATGAATCGCTTGAACCTGGAAGGTAGAGGTTGCAGTGAACTTAGGGATCATGCCACTGCATTCCAGCCTGGGCGACAGAGTGAGACTCTGCCTCAGGAAAAAAAAAAAAAAAAAAAAAAAAAAGACCAGAAAAGGCCAGGCGCTGTGGCTCACTCCTGCAGTCCTAGCACTTTGAGAGGCGGAGGTGGGTGGATCACCTGAGGTCAGGAGTTCAAGATGAGCCTGGCCATCATGGTGAAACCCCATCTTAAAAAAAAAAAAAAAATTCAGCCGGGCGCGGTGGCTCAAGCCTGTAATCCCAGCACTTTGGGAGGCCGAGGCGGGTGGATCACGAGGTCGAGAGATCGAGACCATCCTGGTCAACATGGTGAAACCCCGTCTCTACTAAAAATACAAAAAACTAGCTGGGCATGGTGGCGCGTGCCTGTAATCCCAGCTACTGGAGGCTGAGGCAGGAGAATTGCCTGAGCCCAGGAGGCGGAGGTTGCGGTGAGCCGAGATCGCGCCATTGCACTCCAGCCTGGGTAACAAGAGCAAAACTCCGTCTCCAAAAAAAAAAAAAAAAAAAAAAAAATTCTACACAAGTGAAGTAAACAAAGAAAAAAAAACAGTAAAATCAACAAAATCACAAGTTGATTCTTTGAAAAGAACAGTGAAATTGACAAACCTTTAGCTAGACTGACCAAGCAAAAAAGAAGAATCAAATTACTAAAATCAGGATTTTAGTAAAATCATATTTTCTATATGCCCTTAGGATAATTTCCACAGACTTTAAATTCACTTTTTAAAGTACTTAGTTAATCCCAGCACTTTGGGAGGCCAAGGCGGGTGGATCACAAGGTCGAGAGATCGAGACCAACCTGGTCAACATGGTGAAACCCCATCTCTACTAAAAATACAAAAAATTAGCTGGGCATGGTGGCGTGTGCCTGTAATCCCAGCTACTCAGGAGGCTGAGACAGGAGAATCGCCTGAGCCCAGGAGGCGGAGGTTGCGGTGAGCCGAGATCGTGCCATTGCACTCCAGCCTGGGTAACAAGAGCGAAACTCCGTCTCAAAAAAAAAAATAAAATAAAATAAATAAATAAATAAATAAAGTACTTAGTTATGGTGGTTTTGTTGGGAAACTGTTTCACAGACTTCTCACACCCGTGTTCTGGACCTGATGACCTTTCACTGTTAATTATTCGGCATGCATTTTGGGATAGCCTCTTTGATTAGCACATTGAGAAATCTAACTTGATTCTGTATTCATAGCTGACTCTCCTGCAGTGCCCACCACGGGACATCCTTAAGCTTAGCTAAATTTTCTACCTCATAGGATACCCTGGGTCCTGTTGTATCAGAGATGCTGAGAGGGGCACAGGACAGGAGCCCCAGCAGTGGAGCTGGCAGCAGAGGCTCAGGGTCTGGAGACGGCGCAGCAGGCTGGCGGCAGAGATGCTGCTGCTGACGTTGACCGCTTGGCTCAGCCAGTGTCCATCAGGCTTTTCTGTAAAGATAACTTTTTCTGTTCATAATTAATAAGAAAAACCTATGGAGGTGGCTGAGAAGCAATCTTGTTTCTCAGTAAGCGTTCATTCACTTGTTTTAGTATCCATTGATGATTCTTGTCTAAATCAATTTTTATTGTGATGTGATCAAATAACAATATTGTTATTATTTTTTAAGACAGGGTCTAATTTTCTTTTTCTTTTTTTTTTTTCTTTTTTTGAGACGGAGTTTCGCTCTTGTTACCCAGGCTGGAGTGCAATGGCGCGATCTCAGCTCACCGCAACCTGCGCCTCCTGGGTTCAGGCAATTCTTCTGCCTCAGCCTCCTGAGTAGCTGGGATTATAGGCACTCGCCACCACGCCCAGCTAATTTTTTGTATTTTTAGTAGAGACGGGATTTCACCATGTTGACCAGGATGGTCTCGATCTCTTGACCTTGTGATCCACCCGCCTCGGCCTCCCAAAGTGCTGGGATTACAGGCGTGAGCCACCACGCCCGCCCTCTTTTTTTTTTTTTGAGACGAAGTCTCACTCTTTTCCGCCACACTGGATTACACACAGGCGTCCGCCACTGCAATCGGCCACTTTTTGCATTTTTAGTAGAGACAGGGTTTCACCATGTTGGCCAGGCTGGTCTTGAATACCTGACCTTAGGTGATCCACCCAAGTGCTGGGATTACAGGCATGAGCCACCTGGCTTAATGCCCACGAATTTTTAAACTTTTTGTAGAGACAGAGTCTCGGTATATTGCCCAGACCCCTAGGCACAAGTGGTCCTCTACCTCAGGCTCCCAAAATGCTGGAATTATGGGGGTGAACCACCAGGCCCTGCCCCATTTCGTTTTGTAAGTACTTTTTGTGATACCTGTAGCTCTTCTGCCCCATTAAGCAGGCCAGCAGGCCGTGTGTCTTATACCAAATTGTGGTTTTACTACTGAGAATTAAAACAATTAGAATTGTTACTATGACTGGGCAAAGTGACCCACACTGTAGTCACAGTACCTTGGGAGGTCGAGGTGGGTGGGTTCCTTGAGGCCAGGAATTAAAGACCAACCCGGCCAATATAGCAAAACCCTGTCTCTACTGAAAATACAAAAATTAGCCAAAAGTGATTGTGCACACGTGTAATCCCAGCTACTTGGGAGGCGGAAGCAGGAGAATCTCTTGAACCCGGGAGGCAGAGGTTGCGGTGAGCCGAGCTTGCGTCACTCACTCCGACCTGGCCGGCAGAGTGAGACTCCATTTCGAAAAAAAAAAAAAAAATTGAGGCCGGGTGCGGTGGCTCAAGCCTGTCATCCCAGCACTTTGGGAGGCCGAGGTGGGCGGATCACGAGGTCGAGAGATCGAGACCATCCTGGTCAACATGGTGAAACCCCGTGTCTACTAAAAATACTAAAAATTAGCTGGGCATGGTGGCGCGTGCCTGTAATCCCAGCTACTCAGGAGGCTGAGGCAGGAGAATTGCTTGAACCCAGAAGGCGGAGGTTGCGGTGAGCCGAGATCGCGCCATTGCACTCCAGCCTGGGTAACAAGAGCGAAACTCCGTCTCAAAAAAAAAAAAAAAAAAGAAAAAAAAAATTGAGAAAAACATTAGTTACTGTAATCTACAGTTAGCAACAAAAAAGTCCTCTAAAAAACTGCTTAGGACGCCAGGGTCAGTGGCTCACGCCTGTAATCCCATGTGTATAAAGATTTCATTTCCTTATTTGGGTCAGCCTGTGTTGGTTGCAAAAAATACCTTCCTTGACTTTGCCACTTTCAGTGGTCTCTTCTGCTGCTATTTTTAGATGAAAGATTCTCTTTAGGGTGAATAAACAGTGACGTTCATTCTTGCCATTTTAGTTTTTTTTTTTTTTTTTTTTTTTTTTGAGATGGAGATTCGCTCTTGTTACCCAGGCTAGAGCGCAATGGCACAATCTCGGCTCACCGCAATCTCCGCCTCCCGGGTTCAGGCAATTCTCCTGCCTCAGCCTCCTGAGTAGCTGGGATTACAGGCACGCGCCACAGCCAGCTAGTTTTTTAGTAGAGACGGGGTTTCACCATGTTGACCAGGATGGTGTCGATCTCTCGACCTCGTGATCCACCCGCCTCGGCCTCCCAAAGTGCTGGGATTACAGGCTTGAGCCACCGTGCCCTGGCCCGCCATTTTAGTTTTCATATCAAAGTTTCTCACTTGTAAACCTCTTCCTGACATACGTAGCTTGTAAAAACCACTTTCCTGACTTGTTCTTCTCTCATTCTTTTATAGGTACTTCCTATTTAACAGACATTGTGTGGTGGGCTGGCACAATCGCAAGTAAGTAGCCTAGTGTGACCATCACTACTCTGGGCACGGCTGGAATGGCTGGGTTAGGGTGGGAGGGTGTCACATGGCCTCTCCCAGGCCCCGAACACGTCTTTAGTTTAGATGCCCCTGCCTTCCCAGGGAGCTCGCCCTGCTCCCCTTGCTCCCAGGGCAAGAATGCAGAAGGACAAGTTGGGAGTGCTGGAGGCCCCTGCTGCCCATGGGTAGCCATGAATTCAGTCCAGGCCAATCTGTTCTGAGCCCAAAGAAATTAAAACTGCTCCTGCTTACCCGTGTAGTTGGGCCACTGGCGTCCGGTGAAATTCCATGTTAGGCTGCCTTGTTTTTCTCAGGGCAGCTGGTTTAACAAAGGACAGTTTTGTGACTCAAAGATCAGGTCATGTGCTATAATGCGAAGATAAAATTATTACAGTTCAGAACTCTAAATGTGTTATAACGGACAACTGTCTTTGAAGTTCAGAAATACTGTGTATGGCTGGCCATGGTCGCTCATGCCTATAATCCCAGCACTTTGAGAGGCTGAAACAGGTGGATTGTTTGGGCCCAGAAATTCGAGACTAGTGTGAGAAACACAATGAAACCCCGTCTGTGCAGAAACAAAAACAAATTGTCTGGGCTTGGTGGTGTGCGCCTGTTTTCACAGCGATTTGGAGGCTGAGGTGGGAGGATTGCTTGAGACTGGGAGGTGGAGGCTACAGTGAGCCAGCATCACCACAGTGCCCTCCAGTCTGGGTGACAGAGCGAGACTCTGTCTCAAAAGAGAAAGAAGAAACATCACGTTCCTTTTGTCTTTTCATACGACACTACTTGGCAGTGCCAGTTCTGTTCCTTGAAGAGCTCCTCTTTCAGCTCTGTCTGGGTGCCTCCCTGCGGCAGTCCTGTGCGGCAACGCTGTGTCCTCTTGGTATGCCAGTGGCCTGTCACCGTGGCCAGCCGCCTGTGCTGCAGCAGTCCCAGGCCACTGGAGGGTGCACAGGAAGCTCTGCACCACCAGTGTGAGAGCAAGGGTGTGTGAAGAGAGCGGAAATCTGCTCAGTCACCGCTGGTCAGGTTCTGCATTTCTGTGGCGGGATGAACCTACTCACCTCACTGATGGGACCAGTGAAGGTGTGGGGTCTGCCCCCGACCCCTTAAACGTGCAGGTGACACCCAGATGTGATTCCTCTCAAGTAATGGGAGTGAAGTAGCCCTTTCAGAGCCGAGCCTTGCAAGACTCAACTCTGAGCAGTGCTGAAAGAGAGCTCTGTAACTGCAAGCAGTACCCTTGTGATTTTCTTGACAGTGGCAGTTGGCCAGATTGGAAACTTCCTGGCGTACACGGCGGTCCCTACAGTCCTCGTGACTCCCCTGGGCGCCCTGGGAGTGCCGTTCGGGTGAGAGCCAAGATTTCGTTTGGTATTTAATGTGTAGTTTAGATATAAGAACTTTTCATTTTAAATGCTTCTGTTAAAATAATAAAAGCAAAGTTGTATCAGAAGATAGATCTTCAGGCCACGCACAGTGGCTCAAGCCTATAATCCCAGCACTTTGGGAGGCCAAGGTGGGCAGATTAGATCAGGAGTTTAAGACTGCCTGTCCAACATGGCGAAACCCTGTTCCTACTAAAAATTCAAAAAATGGCCGGGCGCGGTGGCACAAGCCTGTAATCCCAGCACTTTGGGAGGCCGAGGCGGGTGGATCATGAGGTCAAGAGATCGAGACCATCCTGGTCAACATGGTGAAACCCCGTCTCTACTAAAAATACAAAAATTAGCTGGGCATGGTGGCACGTGCCTGTAATCCCAGCTACTCAGGAGGCTGAGGCAGGAGAATTGCCTGAACCCAGGAGGTGGAGGTTGCGGTGAGCCGAGATCGCGCCATTGCACTCCAGCCTGGGTAACAAGAGCGAAACTCCGTCTCAAAAGCTGCACGGGTAGCTCACGCCTGTAATCCCAGCACTTGGAGAGGCCAAGGCGAGTGGATCATTTGAGGTGAGGAGTTAGAGACCAGCCTGGCCTACATGGCGAAACCCCATCTCTACTAAAAGTACAAAAATTAGCCGGACAGGGTGGCGGGTGCCTATAATCCCAACTACTTGGGAGGTTGAGGCAGAAGAATCTCTTGGATATGGAAGACAGAGGACAGACATGTAAATTAATAGAACGTAACTGAGATTCTAGGAACAGACACTCAGATTCACAGTCAGTTGATTTTTGCCAGAGGTACCAAGACAATTGAGTGGGGGAAAGAATAGTTTTTTCAAGACATGATGCTGAGCTGGCTGGATCTCCACATGGTGGTGAATGAAGTTGTGCTCCTGCCTCACACTATACAAATGTTAACTCAGTGAATCAAAGGCCTAGATGTAAGAGCTAAACTTTTAAAACTCTTAGAAGTAAACGTAGATATAAGTCTTTTTTTGTTTGTTTGTTTGTTTCGAGACGGAGTTTCTTGCTCTTGTTACCCAGGCTGGAGTGCAATGGTATGATCTCGGCTCACTGCAGCCTCCGCCTCCTGGGTTCAGGCAATTCTCTTGCCTCAGCCTCCTGAGTAGCTGGGACTACAGGCACTCGCCACTATGCCCAGCTAATTTTTTATATTTTTAGTAGAGATGGGGTTTCACCATGTTGACCAGGATGGTCTCAGTCTCTTGACCTCGTGATCCGCCCGCCTCGGCCTCCCAAAGTGCTGGAATTATAGGCGTGAGCCACCGCGCCCAGCGATATAAGTCTTTATGATCTTGGATTCGGTGATGATTTTCTAGTATAACACTTAAAGCACAAAAGCAGAAGCAACAGAAGAGAAATAGATAAATTGGGTATCATCAAAATTAAAAACCTTTGTGCTTAAAAGGATGCCATCAACATACTGAAAACTCACGGAGTGGGAGGAAAATTTCAAATTATAGATCTGATAAGGGATTTGTAGTTAGAATATATAAAAACTCTTGCTGGGTGTGGTGGCTCACGCCTGTAGTCCCAGCACTTTGGGAGGTTGGAGGATCACGAGGTCAGGAGTTTGAGACCAGCCTAGCCAACATGGTGAAATCCCATCTCTACTAAATGCAAAAAAAATGGAACTGTCAGCCAGGTGCTGTGGCTCATGCCTATAATCTCAGCACTGTAGGGAGCTGAGGCGGGTGAATCACTTGTGGTCAGGAGTTTGAGACCAGCCTAGCCAGCATGGTGAAACCCGATCTCTACTAAAAATACAAAAATCAGCCAGGCGTGGTGGTGGGTGCCTGTAATCGCAGCTACTTGGGAGGCTGAAGCAGGAGAATTACTTGAACCTGGGAGGTAGAGATTAAAGTGAGTTGAGATTGCGCCACTGCACTCCAGCTTGGGTGACTGAGTAAGACTTTGTCTCAATAAATGAATGAATGAATGAAGGAAAACGGCACTGTCTTCTGGTATTCCACAATGGAATAAGAGATGATGTGGCCCCGTGGTCCATACTTTCCACTTTGGTGCATGACAGCCCTTTCCCACCTTGGCACAGTCCACCCGTTGTCCCAGGCCAGTTCCAGGCCCACTTTTTGCCCTGTGAACCCCCTGCGTTTCTGGTTTCTACTTTTCTGGGCAGCTACTCATTGAAGCCCCTCTATTGAACATGTAGTCATGCATTCATGTATCGCTTGTGGGTTCTTCCAGCGATGTGACTTACTGCTCCAGCGGCATTGTTGGGAGCTTCTCAAGAACAGGGCTGTCGGCCAGACACAGTGGCTCGCGCCCGTAATCCCAACACTTTGGGAGGCTGAGGTGGGTGGACCACAAGGTTAGGAGTTTGAGACCAGCCTGGCCAACATAATGACATCCCAACTTTACTAAAAAAAAAAAAATACAAAAAAAAAAAAAAAAAAGCCGGATGTGGTGGCGGGGGCCTGTAATCCCAGTGACTTGGGAGGCTGAGGCAGGAGAATTGCTTGAACCTGGGTGGCGGAAGTTGCCATGAGCCGAGATTGCGCCACTGCACTCCAGTCCAGGCTACAATGCGAGACTCTGTTTCAAAAAAAGAAAAAAGAACAGGGCTGTCTAGAAATAAGGACAGAAGTGTGGTTCAAGGGAAGAGAAGGCGTGTAGGACCTGTTGAGGGTCGTGACCGTGCTTGTATCTCTTGTTAGCTTTGTGGCCTTAGGTTCAATGCCGACCCTTTCTGAGGCTCAAGTTTCCTTATCTTTGAAATAGGGATTAAAGAAAGCAGTCCAGGGCGTACCGGAGCCTGGGATGCCCTCCTCCAGATGTTCCTGTTTTCTGATCGTCTTCAGCACAGACATGAGTAAAGTGAGAAGGACCAGTCCCATGACTTAGTGAGGGCCAGGTGTTCTGATTCAGATTGTATACTGATAATTACACAGAGAAGTAAGAGAAGAAACACATCACAAGCCTGAAGATTATCGATGTTTTTGAAGAATACATTTTTTTGCATTAATTATGTGACCACATTGTAGAAGTTTTCAGTATTAGAGAAAATAATCACCCTTAGTTTTACTGTACTGCAATTACTATTAGGATTTTAATTTTTCTTTTGTTTGTGCATTTTTCACCTAATTTAATTTTAATTGTTTTTATCATGCATTACTTAAAATTATTTTGACAGTTTTATACCCTACTTTTCCACGTAGCATAGATAGTAGTATTTTTGTTTGGTTCCTTTTAAGTAAGAAAGCATTACTTTTTTTCTTTTTCTTTTTTTTTTTTTTTTTTTAATGCTTGCCTACATGCAGAGGAAGCATTACTTTTTACTTTTGGTCAGTCACAAAACTTTTTATACTGTGGTATATTTTATATGTGCTGAGATAGTAATATAGTGGTGTAAGTTAGGCCTATCATTAACTACGTAATGGTTATATATGGAATTGGTATGAAAATCCTGGCCAGGCATGGTGACTCATGTCTATAATCTAGGACTTTGGTAGGCCAAGGCAGGAGGATCGTTTGAGCCCAAGAATTTGAGATTTGCCTGGGCAACTTAGTGAGACCCGGTCCCTACACAAATTTATTAATTGATTGATTGATTGATTGAGAGGGGGTTTTACCATAGTGGTCAGGCTGGTCTCGAACTCCTGACCTCAGGTGATCCACCCGCCTTGGGCTCCCAAAGTTCTGGGATTACAGGTGTGAGCCACCACGCCCAATCTCTACACAAAATTTTTGAAAAAGTAGCTGAGTGTGGTGGCATGCATCTGTAGTCCCAGCTACTTCAGTGGCTGAGGCAGGAGGACCACTGATGCCAGGAGTTTAAGCTTGTGGTGAGCTATGATTGCGCCATTGCACTCCAATCTTGGCAATAGAGTGAGATATGGTCTCTTAAAGGGAAAAAACAGAAGAAAAAGAAAACAGCTTTTCTAGACAAAAATATGTGCACTTAGAAGAAAGTTCAGGTAGTTCGGTTTAAATTTTAATGATTTCTCTTTCTTCAATAAAGGTCCATTTTAGCTTCCTATCTCCTGAAGGAAAAGCTCAACATCTTGGGCAAGTTGGGGTGCCTGCTAAGCTGTGCAGGCTCTGTCGTGCTGATCATCCACTCCCCAAAGTCTGAGAGTGTGACGACTCAGGCTGAGCTGGAAGAGAAGCTGACCAACCCAGGTAATTCCTTTCTAACAGTGCTGCCAGGAAGGTTTGCACTAGGAGTCACAACTTTTTTAACCAGATCTTCACATCTGACGCTTCCTGGCGGGGCCGATGAAACACGTGTCCACCCTGATCTGCTACTGTAGGTCTGTGTTCTCCGGGTGTCACTGTAGGTCTGTGTTTATACAGCTCTGTGTATATATAGGTCTGTGACACAGACCTTTTTTGATAAATGCATTAAAAACTGCTATCTAGGCCGGGCGCAGTGGCTCAAGCCTGTAATCCCAGCACTTTGGGAGGCCGAGGCGGGTGGATCACGAGGTCGAGAGATCGAGACCATCCTGGTCAACATGGTGAAACCCCGTCTCTACAAAAAATACAAAAAATTAGCTGGGCATGGTGGCGCGTGCCTGTAATCCCAGCTACTCAGGAGGCTGAGGCAGGAGAATTGCCTGAGCTCAGGAGGCGGAGGTTGCGGTGAGCAGAGGTTGCGCCATTGCACTCCAGCCTGGGTAACAAGAGCGAAACTCCGTCTCAAAAAAAAAACAAAAAAAAACTGCTATCTACATGATTACAACAGACTTAAAGGATAGGTTTCACTTTACATAGACCACCCTGTGTTGCTTACCAAGTTTAGGCAGGTGCTAGCACAGCACTGCTTCCACATCAGCTTGCTGGTTTGCATGTCCACACTTGCTGGTTTTCTTTTTTTTTTGAGTCAGAGTTTCACTCTTGTTACCCAGGCTGGAGTGCAATGGCGCGATCTCGGCTCACCGCAACCTCCGCCTCCTGGGTTCAGGCAATTCTCCTGCCTCAGCCTCCTGAGTAGCTGGGATTACAGGCACGTGCCACCATGCCCAGCTAATTTTTTTGTATTTTTAGTAGAGATGGGGTTTCACCATGTTGACCAGGATGGTCTCGATCTCTTGACCTCATGATCCACCTGCCTCGGCCTCCCAAAGTGCTGGGATTACAGGCGTGAGCCACCGCGCCCGGCCTCACTTGCTGGTTTTCATGTCCACACACCCTGCTTTGCATGTTCACACTATGGTTTGCATGTCCGCAACCCAGTTTGCATGTCCACCCTTGCTGGTTTTCGTAGCCAGCCCTCTCAGATCCATTTGTGATCTTAGAATAGATTTCATAGAAAACACAACCTCTTTATACACATAATTTCAAACCATTAGTGTAATGCCCTCACCGTAATATAAAGGAGGAATACCAAGACAATACTTCAAAATACAACATGGAATTCAATATATAAATGCTCAGGTCCAACTATAAGAGAAGACGTGTTGAAGCTGGCAGACCCCACAGCTTGTGAGGATGACTGAGAATCTAGTAGCTGCAGGTGTAGACCGATGTGGGGTGTCCTGTTATTAACTCAGATACTTGAGGTCTTGCCGTCAACAAAATGATCCTCAGATGGAGCATAACTGTTAGTGAAGTTTTGATCAAAGAAAGAACAAGCCTCCCTCAATTTACATGGAAGCGGCACTTCTGAAAAATTCAGCATATATTAAATCCGTGCAAAAATTACTTTGTTTCGGCCGGGCACGGTGGCTCAAGCCTGTAATCCCAGCACTTTGGGAGGCCGAGGCGGGTGGATCACAAGGTCAAGAGATCGAGACCATCCTGGTCAACATGGTGAAACCCCGTCTCTACTAAAAATACAAAAAACTAGCTGGGCATGGTGGCACGTGCCTGTAATCCCAGCTACTTAGGAGGCTGAGGCAGGAGAATTGCCTGAGCCCAGGAGGCGGAGGTTGCAGTGAGCCGAGATCGCGCCATTGCACTCCAGCCTGGGTAACAAGAGCGAAACTCCATCTCAAAAAAAAAAAAAAAAAAAAAAAAAAAAAAAAATTACTTTGTTTCATGCATTAAATAGGTTCTAGGCTCTGATTATTAAAAACATAGTTTTCGCTTGGAGGTCTAAGGAGACATTCAGGAGTTGTGAGGAGAATGGGATGATTTTTGACAGTGGGAGGGGGGCTGTCTGCACATGCCCCTGCCCACTGGATGCAGCCCCCAATCGTGACAACACCCACAAACACCTCCCACAGCTTAAAGTCCTCCCTCCTGTCCCCTGCCTTACCCCTGCTCCCTGGATTCCCAGGTGCTATTTTGAAACCTCGGCGCGTCTCCATTGACTTGTATTGTTAAGAGAATGGTTCTAGGCTGGGGGCAGTGGCTCATGCCTATAATCCCAGCACTTCGGGAGGCTGAGGAGGACAGATCAGCTGAGGTTAGGAGTTCAAGACCAGCTTGGCCAACATGGCGAAACCCCATCTCTACTAAAAATACAAAAATTAGCCGGGCGTGGTGGCAGACACCTGTAATCCCAGCTACTCTGGACGCTGAGACCAGAGAATTGCTTGAACCCGGGAGGCAGAGGTTATAGTGAGCAGAGATTGCACCACTGCACTCCAGCCTGGGCAACAAGAGTGAAACTTCGTTTCAAAAAATAACGAGAAAACCTAAAAAACAAAGAGAATGGTTCTGATAGAGGACCATGTAAACATTTAGGAGCTTTAAGGTTTTTTTTTTTTTTTTTTTTTGAGACTGCGAGTCTCACACTGACACTCAGGTTGTAGTGCAGTGGTGCAATCTTGGCTCACTGCAACCTCCACCTCCCGGGTTCAAGCAATTCTGCTTCAGCCTCCTGAGTAGCTGGGATTACAGGCACACGCCACCATGCCCAGCTAATTTTTGTATTTTAGTAGAGATGGGGGTTTCATCATATTGGTCAGGCTAGTCTTGAACTCCTGACCTCGTGATCCACCCACCTCAGCCTCTTAAAGTGCTGGGATTACAGGCGCGTACCACCACACCCAGCTAATTTTTGTATTTAATAGAGATGAGGTTTCACCATGTTGACCAGGATGGTCTCGATCTCTTGACCTTGTGATCCACCCGCCTCGGCCTCCCAACATGCTGGGATTACAGATGTGGGACACTGCGGCTGGCCAGGAGCTGTAAATGTTTTAACAGTGAAAATGAGGGGAATAGGCCGGGCGCGGTGGCTCAAGCCTGTAATCCCAGCACTTTCGGAGGCCGAGGCAGGTGGATCACGAGGTCAAGAGATCGAGACCATCCTGGTCAACATGGTGAAACCCCGTCTCCACTAAAAATACAAAAAATTAGCTGGGCATGGTGGCGCGTGCCTGTAATCCCAGCTACTCGGGAGGCTGAGGCAGGAGAATTGCCTGAACCCAGGAGGCGGAGGTTGCGGTGAGCCGAGATCACGCCATTGCACTCCAGCCTGGGTAACAGGAGCAAAACTCCGTCTCAAAAAGGAGAAAAAAAAAGTGAGGGGAATAATTTTGTGGAACGAAATCGGTGGATCTAGTGCCACAGTGGTAGCGGGTGGGGACACGGGTGCTGCCCCAGTCACCCCCCCGGCCGCTGGGCTGCGTGTGCTGTGAGGCCGGCTGCCGGCTGACTGCGTGCGTCTGTGTTCCAGTGTTTGTGGGCTACCTGTGCATCGTGCTGCTCATGCTGCTGCTGCTCATCTTCTGGATCGCGCCGGCCCACGGGCCCACCAACATCATGGTCTACATCAGCATCTGCTCTCTGCTGGGCAGTTTCACCGTGCCTTCCACCAAGGGCATCGGGCTGGCGGCCCAAGACATCTTGCACAACAACCCGTCCAGCCAGAGAGCCCTCTGCCTGTGCCTGGTGCTTCTGGCCGTGCTTGGCTGCAGCATCATTGTCCAGTTCAGGTATATCAACAAGGCACTGGAGTGCTTCGACTCCTCGGTGTTCGGGGCCATCTACTACGTCGTGTTCACCACGCTGGTCCTGCTGGCCTCAGCCATCCTCTTCCGGGAGTGGAGCAACGTGGGCCTGGTGGACTTCTTGGGGATGGCCTGTGGATTCACGACCGTCTCCGTGGGGATTGTCCTTATACAGGTGTTCAAAGAGTTCAATTTCAACCTTGGGGAGATGAACAAATCTAATATGAAAACAGACTAGATTGCAGTAGGGTCTTGGATGGTTCGAGGAACAGGTATTGGAGGTAGTCCTGACTGGATGTGCAGAAGAGGTCCTCGATCTTGGTGTTAGAGTTGACTGGATGGGAAAGGTGGTCTGGTGGACGGGGGGAGTGGGGCTTAGCAGCAGAGCACAGGCCCAGCCAGCCCTCTGCAGCCCAAAGGTGCCTCACGGTTGCCTGGCACCATGTCTCTCATATGAGACAAATCTCATTTTCATTTCCATTAACCAGGAAGCTTTCATGAATATTCTCTTCTTTTAAAACATTTTAACATTAAACAGAAAAAGGTGGGCTCTTTCTGGTTAGTTGTTACAGGATAGCAGAGATATTTTTACATAGATTACTTTGGAAATGAGAGATTGTTGTCTTGAACTCTGGTTTACAGTGAATGTGTCTGTGGTTGTGTTAGTTTGCATTAAGCATGTATAACATTCAAGTATGTCATCCGAATAAGAGGCATATACATTAAATTGTTTTTAGTCCTCTGACAAGTTGACTCTTCGGCCCTCACCCCTCCCAAGACATTTAAATAGTAGAGAAGAGTTAACGAACATGATGGAGTGTTCCACCGGCAGGATGACTTTTCAATAGCTCAAATCAATTTCAGTGCCTTTATCACTTGAATTATTAACTATTACTGTGTATATGTTCTTAGGTTAGAATAATGCAACTTCCTTGAGTATGCTTTAATATTTCAGTATTCAAGTTACAAATGTACGAGGCAGTTAGAAATAATGCAGTCACACGTCACTTAGTGACAGCAAAACATTCTGAGAAATGCATTGTAAGCGGACTGTATTGTGTGAACATCAGGAGGTGCACTTACACAAACCTCAATGGGACACCTTTTACCCACCTGGGGTGGGTGGCACAGCCTGTTGTTCCTGGCGTCACACCTGTACAGCATGTGAATACTGTGGGCAATTGTAACACAGCGGTGAGTGTTTGTGTTTCCAAACATAGAAAGGGTACAGTAAAACGATGGTATTACGATCCTACAGGATCACTGTCATGTAGGTGGTGTGTCTTTGACAGAAACATGTTTACATGGTGCATGACTGTATATTCGTTGGAAGATAGTCAAGACTGAAGACACATTAGAGCAAACGGACCCATTTAACTTGGCTATTGTTCAATTAAAGACAGTTGATTTAAGTAGCATGAGATATTATTTTATTTGTATTCAGTCTATGTACCTGGGATTCAGTATCAAATATTTCCACATTCTTTATCAGCAAGCATTTATGGCCATTCAGAAGAAATAATTGCTGTACCTTGATAATAAAGCTAAACGGGAGAAGACCTGTTCAGTAGCTCGTAGATCGAGTTCCCTGTCTTACAGAAATAAGTTAAAGGACACAATTGAGGTTAGGCTAGTTTCCAAAAATTGTAACACACAGTTTTAAAAAGAATTTCTAGCAAAAAAACCAATGAATATAGCCATCTCTTTGTTGTTTGCAATGGCAGAGCATCCTGGAGTTCCCCACCTAACCTCTCATTATATGTCCTAAATGCAAAAGAGCCATTAATTATGCCAATATTTGAATCAAAGAGGCCATTCTTCTGTCTGTCGTCACCGTCCATGTGTTCCAAATGGAGCGAAGCATGAAGTGACACAAATGTTTTAGCACAGGGAACTGTGCCACGTTGAGAGATGGGGTTGGGCAAAGTAAATTAGGTGAAGTAGAACATAAAATTTAATAATACCTGATTAAAGCTCTTCAGTAAGAAAAATGTGTTTTTATAGGCAGAAAGAACATTTCTAAAGTTAAGTCTCCAGGAATGGCTTCCTAAAGTGTTGAGTAGAGGCGAAATAAAATGAGACTAGTTTAATAACAGAGAGAAAAAAACTTTAATTAAAAGTGTCCGTGATGATCATGGGTTGTCAGCAATTTGTGAACTGAGAGCAGCAGCAAAATTATTTTTACAAATTTTAAATCTGCTATTAATGGATGGTTAACAAATGTTCAAAGTCCATTACCCCTTTATCATCAGTGCTTTTGGGAATGCAGGCTTTAAGTCATGGAACTGAACTTTCTGAAAACGTAGTATATCAGTGTCAGTGTACTTTTAGGCATAAAAATAGTTTCCTAGGTAAGGAGCGTGAGATATTCAACGAATACATGTGGCTAACAAATGTCATGAGAAAGTTCATGTGTCACATGAAAATTATCACCTTTCTTTGACTTCAGCTTTCACAGGAAATTTAATTTAAATGCAGCTCTTGGTGTACCTTATTATATTTTAATCTACAAGTATACCATTGATACTGAGATGTGGTATTTTCCTGATATTTTCTATAATTTTTTTTAGAGTAAAGTAAAATCTCAAAGTATTAATAGCTTTTCTCCCCTTGAAAGTGACTGGTCCTGGGACAGTTGGAATCTTCCAGGGTCACCTCCGTTCAGCAGATACTTCAATAGGGTACATAGCTCTTCTTCCAGGGAAACAAAGTTCATATCGTCCATTGTTTTTCAAGCACATGACACTAGCCTCAAAGTAAATGACATGACCAGTGGCTGAACAGTCTAATTTTCAAATTTCATATAGAGCATATAACTTCTGATTTCATAGTATTTATTTTAAAAATCTATGTGTTCACCTTTCATTTGGAAACAAAAAAGAAAAAAAGCCCCAAAGTGAGAACTTTGGGGGAAGGCCTCGAACTTGGATAGATTTCTTAGTGGCCTTTCCAAAAGTAAACGCACTTGAAATATTTTCAAATTATCATACCATTCTTTGAAAAAAAAAATGCTTACTGTATACTTGTTTTCAGGCATCCTCTAAAATCAAAGGTTTTGATCACAATATGCAGATTTCCTCTTGACAGATACTGAAATAGGCTATTTCTCTCTTCCTCTTGGGCAATGCCTTGTTTTCTACTCTGAATATTTGCATTTTAAAGATTGCTTCCCGTTCTGCTCAGTGATCAAAGGAAGGGCCAATTAAGGATTCTAATCCTAACCCATCACCACGAAGGCCCCCGGACCTTGCCATCTCTGTGGAGAAGGTGCTGGGAGGGCAGCCCTTCCCCTGCTGCCTGGAGTGCGGCCCTGCCCATGCTGGGGACTTTGTGGGAGGAATCTGGTGGTCTGGGGGCCTTGCTCAGCTCTCACTGCGGTCTTTTCCTGTTAGAACGTTAGTGACATAGACTTCGCAGCTCTTTGTTCAGCGATGAGGAATGTTCTTTCAATTCCTGCTCTTCACGCCGATTTGCTGCACCCAGTTGTCTTTCCAGAAGTTGATCCCAGCAGTCCTACGTTGGCGTTTGTTCTTTGGGTTTCACATCTGTTTTCTGAGAGAAGTGAGCACTATTCACGTGTGCAGTCGTCTCCTTCTTCCTAGATGGCTCAGCTCTGTAAGTGTGTTCAGCTTCTACAGGCCAGTTGTAGACTTTGGAGAGGCAGTGTCTCCCAGGTGTGCACGGACACCTGGTCTGTGGAACAGGTGTGGCGGCCACAGGCTACCGCCCTTCCGTCTGCTCGGGAGATTCCTCTTTTTCAAGCTGCTCAACTCACCCGGAAGAGGGTCTCAATCCTGGCTTAGGCTTCCTGCCACCAAGCAGGAAACTAGAAAGAGAACATTTCAGTTCAAGGTCTGTTCATGACTGCATGGATTAGCTTCCAGGTTCTGAAGCTGTTCTCTTCACGGTGTCAACACCAAGGGGGTCGTTCACCCGTCAGGGGGGATCGGATGGACTCTTGGTGTTTTACCTTCTCAGGGACCAAAAATGTGTCATTGACTCCTTAACCTCGACCTCTCTCCCAAGGACATGTCCATGTTCATTCTTTGTCGGTTTTACTCACATTCGTAGGTAGATTCTGTTCATGTGAGTTGGAAAGAAAAGACCAGCTTGTACACCAGTCACACCACAAGGCAGTTTATCATATAAAATACCTCAATTTTTTGTATTCCTCATTTCCACCTCACAGTCGTACTGGTGATGAATTTTAAGGGTCTGTCCTTTAGCTTGTAGGTGATGTTTCTCATCTGGCCAGATTCTTATACCTCCATTGTATACTTGAAAAGGTTCAGAATTACAGGAATAGCGATGAGAATTTGGGCCATTACCACCACTCACTTATTTTCATGCACATCCCTCACATACAACAAAATAATTGTATTTTAAGAAAATGTAACTTTGTTACATCAAAATCTATTGTCTAGTAAAAAGTTGATATTCCATAGAACAAGGATCTTGTAAATAAACGTCTATTTCACATGTACCCACAGCGTTTAAAAAGCAGCGTAGGCCCAGAGCATGAGCCAGGAAGGAGGATGTTTTTCTTTTTTCTGTTTTTCCCTGAATTGTGCAAACATAGGTGAGTCTCTTAACCTTTCTGTGCCTCAGTTTTTCTACCTCTGAAGGGGTGAGATGGTTCTCCAAATTGTTTCTAAAACTCCAGCACTTTCAGTGGTGGTCTGGTAGCCTGAGAGGAGAGCGTGGTGTTCAGACGTGCCGAACGGTGGAAACTCCGCTTGCACGACCCCGGAACCTGCTCAGGACCGTGCTGTGCAACGCACAGCCTCGTGTGCTGAGAGGGCAAAGGAAGTGCTGGGTGTAAAGTTTGCATGATTCCATGAAGCTTTAAGTTTCCTTTTTTTGTTTTAGAAGAAAGGGTTTTATATGTTCTATTGTAAAATATGGAAATTAAACAGGGACTTGAAAAAGTCTCACTGAAAGGCCACCTTCCGATGATGTGATGGGCTCCTCTGACATTCGGCTGAGGTCTGTGTTCTGAAAAAGATGTAATGGCCTGTGGAATACGTAGATGCTGTTGCACTGAATTTGTGATAAATGATACTGAACTTCCTGCGTCCAAGCAGCTCAACCCTGATGATGAACTGACCCCAGGAGAATGTCAGGACTCCCAGACCATTAGTGCCAAAGGGTCATGTTGAAAAGTTCAGAGTATTTATTTGTCAGAATATGATAATTGCCCCCCACCTTAGTATTTTTGCACTTTACAAAAATTTAGATAATGTATTTCAGTAGCTTGCGTGTTTTGCCTTTTCAAAGGATAATTATTATTTTCTTGAGAAATTGAACATAATCATGAAGGAGAGGAAGATGATAAAAATGTCAAATGTTGGCCGGGCACGGTGGCTCACGCCTGTAATCCCCAGCACTTTGGGAGGCCGAGGCGGGTGGATCACGAGGTCAAGAGATCAAGACCATCCTGGTCAACATGGTGAAACCCCGTCTCTGCTAAAAATACAAAAAATCAGCTGGGCACGGTGGCACGTGCCTGTAATCCCAGCTACTCAGGAGGCTGAGGCAGGAGAACTGCCTGAGCCCAGGAGGCGGAGGTTGCGGTGAGCTGAGATCGCGCCATTGCACTCCAGCCTGGGTAACAGGAGTGAAACTCCGTCTCAAAAAAAAAAAAAAAAAAAAAAGGGGTCAAATGTTGATTGGTTGTTTAAAAAGTCTTGTCATGTAAATGTGTTGGGGAGTTTCCAATTAGCATACATACACACGTTTGTCAGTGGCTAAGACTTGCTTATATTTTGCTTTATAGTTGTAGTCAGAGCATGTTGTTACTGCCTTATGTAAATGAAAAGGCTATTAAGTTTTCCAGTAATATTTATTAATCTGTATGTGTTCTAAAATAAAATAACTTATTTCTAGCTGAACTTTTGTTGATTTTTTTTTCCTCTTTACTTGAAATGCTCATGTAATCTCAGGTTCCAAATCATCCCAGTTCCTCACATTTTTCTGATTTTCTTTTTAGAAATGAGTAGCCTAGGCTAGATGCAGTGGCTCATGCCTGTAGCACTTTGGGAGGCTGAGGCAGGTGGATCTCTTGAGGCCAGCAGTTCGAGACCAGCCTGCTCAACATGGTAAAACCCCATCTCTAGTAAATAATACAAAAATTAGCCAGGCATAGTGATGCGTGCCTGTAGTACCAGCTGCTCGGGAGGCTGAAGCAGGAGAATCACTTGAACTCGGGAGGTGAAGGTTGTAGTGAGCTGAGATCACACCACTGCATTCCAGCCTGGTGACAGAGCAAGACTGTCTCAAAAAAAAAAAAAGAAGGAGGAGCCAGGCGCAGTAGGCTCACGACGGATTAAAACCTTTAAAGTTGGTGGCTCACGCCTGTAATCCCAGCACTTTGGGAGGACGAGGGGGGCAGATCACGAGGTCAGGAGTTTGATACCGGCCTGACCAATGTGGTGAAACGCCTTCTCTACTAAAAATAACAGAAATTAGGCGGGCATGGTGATGCATCCCAGCTACTGAGGAGGCTAAAGCAGGTGAATCGCTTGAACCTGGGAGGCAGAGGTTGCAGTGAGCCGAGATTGTGTCACTGCACTCCAGCCTGGGCAACAAAGCCAGACTCTGCCAAAAAAAAAAAAAAAAAAAAAAAAGAATTAGAAGCTGCATAGCTGCGTCGTGACCTGGACCGAAACCAGAGTGATCAGGGGCTGTGTACAGTCTAGAACACAACAGTCAAATAGGATTAGAGCCCGAAAGGGACAGATAGTATTTGGTGTTTTGTTTCAATAAGCGCATAATTCATTTTACAAAGATCCTCACCCCAAATGACTTAAATTTCATATAATAGTGTTTTTGCGTCTAGTCACCACCCGCAACAACATCCCTAAGGGACCGCTCCACCTGCAGCCCAAGAATCCCTCATCTTCTAGGAGGCCTCACTCCAGGGGCTGCTGTTCCCTGCTTCTCTGACTTCCGCGGAAACCACGTTGGTGGGTCCTAAGAAATGTCTCCTTCCCAGGAGCAGCCGAGGCAGGACAGCCTAAGGGTTGGTTTCCTACGCATCTCACGAAAAGTAAGTCTATTCTCAGCATCCGTCCGCGGGCTTCACCAGCGCCCCACCCGCATCTGTTCGGGAGCTGGTCAGTGAGGAAGGCCCCGCCCCAGCCCCGCCCACCCCCGCTTAGGCCCCGCCCACCCCAGCTTTGGCCCCGCCCCTGCCCCGCCTCCTGTCCTCTTAGAGGCACCCTTCCCCTACGGCATTGCGCGGGGACACCAGTTAAATGCATCTTCACTCTGGGACTGCCCCTGGGAACGCTCATTTTAAATAAACGCCATGGGGGACGTTGATTCTGAACTCCAGATCGGCCCACGCCACCTGGCGCAATGCTGTACTGCCTACTCCCCTTCCAGCTTCGTCCATCGCCAGCTCCTGCCCCGAGCCCGGTGCCCGGCTGCGCTCCGCCCTCGTCCCCGCTCCCATCCCCGCCCCGCGCGCTTCTCCGGCACACAGCGCCTCAGCGGACTGGGGTCTTCTAAAGGAACCGGAACCGGGGGCGGGGCCTCTGCCGTGCGGCTCTGCGCGTGCGCGCGCGACGTCTTGCATCATTTGGCCGCGCCCAGGTTCTACGGCGCCGGCCCCGGGTCCAGGAAGCGCCGGTGACGGGGGGACCGGAGGTTGTCCTTGGCAGGTTTTCCTCGGCGCTTCTCCATGGAGGAGGCGGTACGCACGGCTTCAGCCCCGAATGCTCGCACCTCTCACTGGACGGCGACGAAGGCGGCGGCCGCGCGAGCGCAGGACCGGGCGGCCTGCGTGGGGGTGTGAGCCGCGGCGCCCCGGGCAGCCGCGCGGCGGGCCTGCGGGCCAGGGTGAGGTCGCCGCTCCTTCCTTGCGGGCGAGCCTGCCCGTCGGGAGTCGGGGACGGGCTCTTCAGGCGCCTTTCCTTTCCGGGGGTTCGGAGTCGGAAGCGCTTCTCCTGGCCGGGAAGCGGACTGCGGTTCGGTCCCGCGGAAGCCCGGCGGGCCGGCCGCGTCGGGACGCGTGCTGGTGGGGATAGCTGCGCTCGTCTCGGTGAGTCTCGGAAGGTCGCTTCCGCTGCCGGGGGATCGTGACTGATCGTTCGACAGGCCTTGGAAGTCTGCTGTGACGTTTTGAGCCCGGCCGTTTTAATTTCCTAACTTTTATAAAATCCCGGAAGCCTGTTTTCCTCTCTAAAAAACTCTGTGTGTTTCGTTTTGGGTTTGTGCCTCAATTTTTCTTTCTTTCTTTTTTTTTTTCTTTTAACTCCAAAATTTAAATACAAGCCTCCTTAATTTCTTTACTAGGTTGTCAGTTCATTTAATACAGGACTGCATGTTAAGTTCTGCTTTTAGAAATTCTGCATGTAGCCATTTGCCCGGCTAATACTTTTTTTTTTAATAAGGGGAAATAGAGTCAAGAGTTTCCATTCCAGTGGGCTGCCTGTGGAAGCAGTAGTTACGCTCGATGGAGTAGGTTTTTTGTTGATTGGTTAGCAAAATGAGTATGAAGGCTAGTAACTAAATTTAAAACGTACTCAGTAACCTTAGTCGTTTTGCCTACTTCTGTCTTTTCTTCTTTCCAGGCTGGAGCTACACTCGGCCAGGGTTTAAGACTTTAAATGGGAATAAAGGGTAGTATTTACGAGGAAATGAGAGTGAATAAGTCATCTCTAACCTCTTCCAGCCTTTTTTTCATAAGAGAGACCATATTAAACTTACATGTAAGTTAAAATTTTAATTTATAACAATTGTTGCCTAGTTAGGGTTGGAGATTTAGGTTCTGTAATATTTATAAGTACAGTACTGCTTTGAAAACTTATTAGCTAAGTGAGAGGTTGGAAAAAATGAAAGCTAACTTTATGTATATATTTAATTTTTTTGAGACAGGATCTTGCTCTGTCCCCAGGCTAGAGGGTGTGCTCTGGGCCCACTGCAACTTCTGCTTCCCAGGCTCAAGGGATCCTTAAACATCCTCCCCAGTAGCTGGGACCACAGACCTGCGCTACCATGCCTCGCTAATTTTTGTTAATTTTTTTTTAGAGCCGGGGGTTTCATTATGTTACACAATTTCGTCTCCAGCTCCTGGTCTCTAGTGATCCAACCACCTTGGCCTCCAAAGTGTGGGGATTACAGGCATGAAGCACCGAGCCGGACCTAAGCTAGCTTAGATTGCAGTGGAAACCAAGCAGTAAAGATCTAGTAAAGACTAAGAGCGCTGTATATATATTTTTTTTTTCCGAGAGGGAGACTTGCTTTGTCACCCAGGCTGGAGTGCAGTGGCACAATCTCGGCTCACTGCTACGTTGGCCTCCTGGGTTCAAGCAATTCCGCTGCCTCAGCCTCCCGAGTAGCTGGGATTACAGGCTATTGTCACGTCGCCCGGCTTATTTTTGTGTTTTTAGTAGAGACAGGGTTTCCTCATGTTGGCCAGGATAGTCTGGAACTCCTAAACTCTGGTAATCCTCATGCCTCTGCCTTCCAAAGTGCTGAGATTACAGGCCTGAGCCACTGCGTCGGACCTAAGAGGTCTAAAGTTTCAATGTAATATGGGCAGCTGGGAGTAGAAGTCAAGTCCCTTTCTATGTGGTCCTCTTCATGTGACTCTTTTACCTCTGGGAGATTTGGTTTCTTAGGTGTAAAGTGATCTTTCATCTCATTGTTGTGTAGAATAGAAATGAGTAGTGTGGAACAGTGCCTGGGTCGTCGGTGCTCAGTAAGTGGTAGCTGTTGTTAGAGAGAGATCATAATAAAAAGAATTTCACATGTTTTCAGCATATTTCTTTCTTTCTTTCTTTCTTTTTTTTTTTTTGAGACGGAGTTTCCCTCTTGTTACCCAGGCTGGAGTGCAATGGCGCGATCTCGGCTCACCGCAACCTCAACCTCCTGGGTTCAGGCAATTCTCCTGCCTCAGCGTCCTGAGTAGCTGGGATTACAGGCACGCACCACCATGCCCAGCTGATTTTTTGTATTTTTAGTAGAGACGGGGTTTCACCATGTTGACCAGGATGGTCTTGATCTCTTGACCTCGTGATCCACCCACTTCGGCCTCCCAAAGTGCTGGGATTACAGGCGTGAGCCACCACGCCCAGCGTTTTCAGAATATTTCTAATATGTAAATACGGTTTATTCATATTTAAAATGCATGACTTTGAATATTACATTTTTTCCCCATAGAAGGTATAATAAGCTTAAACTCTGATTTGATTGCTTTACATCCTGATATGGAACAGAAAGATAAGACTTCCCTAGAGAATAAAAGGTAGGGTGGGAGTGGGAGAGGAAATGGGAGATAAGGATTCCAGATGAAAATAAATTATGATCTGGCCAAATAAATGGGTTGGAGATCTGTTCCATGCGTTTTGGATTTGGTATGGCCCATAGGGCCTCATGTGATCTAATACTTACCGTTTTTTTTTTTTTTTTTTTTTTTTGAGGTAGAGTTTCACTCCTGTTGCCCAGGCCGGAGTGCAGTGGCATGATCTCAGCTGAGTGCAGCCTCTGCCTACCGGTTTCAAGTGATTCTTCCGCCTCAGCCTCCTGAATAGCTAGGATTACAGGCGCCTGCCACCACACCAGGCTGATTTTTGTGTTTTTAGTAGAGATGGGGTTTCACCATGTTGGCCAGGCTTCGAACTCCTGACCTCATGATCCATCTGCCTCGGCCTCCCAAAGTGTTGGGATTACAGGCATAAACCACCGCGCCCCGCTGACACTCACCTTTTTACTCTAATGTGGTATCTCGCACCTCAATCACCGTCAGCCACAGTGGCCTTTGTTTTCTTAGGAAACTGCACACCTGCTAACGCCCAGAGCCTCTGCACTTGTTTCTTTCTCCCTTGTTCTTTTCAAAAAGCTCTTTCCAGCTTTTACTCAAGTGTTACCTGCTCAGAAAGGCCTAATAACAGTAATTAAAGAGTCCCCTGTCTCAACTCCCCAGTGCCCTTAACATGTTGTCTGTTTCACCAGAACATTTGCCACTTTCCAGAATAATGTATGCATTTTGTTTTTATTTCGCCCTACCTCTCGCAGGAGATAAGCTCCATGTGGGCTGTTGTACCCCTGCTCCTAGAATATTGTGCGTGCTCATTCAATGTTTGTTGGTTGAGTAAATGATATAAACAAACCTCGTGTTCACTGGGAGCCCCATTGAAGGCAGTATGAGTATCAAAGTAACCGTAACAGAGGGGTAGTTAGTGTAAAGAAAATATGGAGGACAGGTAGGAGCAGGTCAGAATAGCAGCAGAGTGCTGACCTGGGTAGAACACAGGACGTGTGAAATACGGTGTGGGAAATAAGATCTAAAAGGGAGGTTTCTGGAGGCTGAAGTACAGTGGCGCAGTCTTGGCTCACTGCAACCCCTGCCTCCCAGGTTCAAGTGATTCTCCTGCCTCAGCCTCCCCAGTAGCAGGGATTGCAGGCACTTGCCATCACGGCTGGCTAATTTTCCTAGTTTTGTAGAGACAGGTTTTCGCCATGTTGGCCAGGCTGGTCTTGAACTCCTGATCTCAGGTGATTCGCCTACTTCGGTCTCCCACAGTGCTAGGATTACAGGCGTAAGCCACCGCACCCCACCCATTTGGTGTAGTTTTTAAAGTTTGCTAATTTTGGTGATTATGTTGCCTCCTGATAGTCATTTTGCAAAGCAGGTCCTAGTTTAGGTTTTCCTCGTTAGAATACTAGTCCATTTTTGCTGAGTGTGGGGGCTCACGCCTGTAATTCCAACACTTTGGGAGGCCAAGGTGGGGCAGATCACCTGGGGTTGGGAGTTTGAGACCAGCCTGAGCAACATGGAGAAACTTAGTCTGTACTAAAAATACAAAATTGGCTGGGCGTGGTGGCGCATGCCTTTAATCCCAGCTATTCGGAAGGCTGAGGCAGGAGAATCATTTGAAGCTGGGAGGCTGAGGTGGCGGTGAGCCAAGGAAAAAAAAAAAGAATACTAGTCCATCTTTGCCTGTTCCTTAAATTATGTGTTTTCCACATTATTTAAGGTGGGCCAATTTCGTAATTTTGTTTTCTTTGAGATGTATTTATTTCATTCATTTTTTAAAATTTTTTTTATTTGAGACGGAGTTTCGATCTTGTTACCCAGGCTGGAGTGCAATGGCGCCATCTCGGCTCACCGCAACCTCCGCCTCCTGGGTTCAAGCGATTCTCCTGCCTCAGCCTCCTGAGTAGCTGGGATTACAGGCACGCGCCACCACGCCCAGCTAATTTTTTGTATTTTTAGTAGAGACGGGGTTTCACCATGTTGACCAGGATGGTCTCGACCTCCTGACCTCGTGATCCACCCGCCTCGGCCTCCCAAAGTGCTGGGATTACAGGCTTGAGCCACCGTATTTCATTCTTGACATGATTTATATTTAGTGGAAGTGTACAAGTACGAGTAAAATCAATTGTGAAAATTGAGTTTTTTAAAACCTAGAGAGAACAAGCAGAACAGAAACATCAGCTGGGTGTGCTGGTGCATGTCTGTGGCCCTGTGGGTCCGAGAGGCTGAGGTGGGAGTCTACTGCAGCCCAGGCATTCCAGGCAGCACCATTGCACTCCAGCCTGGGCCGCAGAGCAGGACATGGCCTCAAAGCACCAGGAAAACACCCCGCACATAAAGAATGAGAAGCAGAAAATCGTAAGCTTCTTTAAAAGAGTTTAAAACTTCAATAGTTTCTTTTTGGAATTTTTAATTCTCTTAGTTGTGGAATCTTTGAGGAAAGTCCCTTTGATCATCTTTACAACTTCAGTGCCTGGCAAATAATAGCTGCTCAGTGTTTTTTGAGCAATGGCCACAGCTGGGATGACTCCCCTGAGTCCCTCTAAGTAATTTGGGCAGGTTCACCAGCTGGAGCTTCTCATCAACATGTTTGGGAACCTAGTTGAAGGGAAATTTAGTAAGTTTTATTGTTTAGCTGTTTTTAATACTGGCCCTGCGTCATGGCTAATCCTTAAGAATAAAAAATATCTCTGTTGCAGGCTCTCCCAGCTGTGATTGACCTTCAGTTACAGAGAGAGGGTGCAGAGTGGGACCAGGTCTGAGAATAGTGAAGTAACTCATTCCTTTCAGGACATTCCCTCGGATGTCCTATTTTCTAACTGTAAGTCAGAATGAGATCACTTATTTTCTTAGTGGCAGCAGGCTGCTTTATAATTTCAAGGCTTGCAAATTTTATGTTGCTTGTCATCTCCCACCACTCCACACTTGAACACTGGTACAGTTCCATGAACGAACAAACAAAACAACTGAATAACCCTATTTGGTGATAAGCCTTATTCTAGAAACGCTTGTAAATCAAATTTGCTACTGTAAATGAGTGCCTTTTGTGAGGAAACCACCACAGAAAACCTAAATCTTTGTCTTTAAGGAACTTAAAGAGTTTACCTTGAAGATAGAACAGTAATTGAGAATTAAATTTAAAAGGCTAACTAAATAGTGGAAAGAGGAGAAAATGCCTCTGGGCTGGAGCTAATTGCAGAAGTCTTTGTAGCACAGCTTAAGGTGCACCCTGGCCTTGAGTGGAGAACGGGCTCTGGGTTGCAGGAGGAGCGGGGGAAGGCCTGTCTGAGGGGGTCAGGTCAGGTTCCTGTGCTGGGAAATGAAGTGGGCAGGAGAGGGGTGGCTAGTCAAGGGATTCTTGAAATCCATATGCACCTGATGGACCCAACTGGTCAGAAAAGGCCTTCTCTCTGATTTTGGTGTTTGAAATGTTCCATAACACATAGATTAAAATAAAAGGGAAAGGGAAAATAGATTTTAAGTAGCATCACTGTAACTTTATGTAAAATAAATGTGGAGAAAATTTCATATGATAGCCTTAGGTTAGGAATAATTTTCAGTGACCCTAGGATTAAATGAATACAGTTCCATTATATGTATTTTTTTTTTTTTTTTGAGACGGAGTTTCACTCTTGTTACCCAGGCTGGAGTGCAATGGCGCGATCTCGGCTCACCACAACCTCCGCCTCCTGGGTTCAGGCAATTCTCCTGCCTCAGCCTCCTGAGTAGCTGGGATTACAGGCACGCGCCACCATGCCCAGCTAATATATGTATTGTTTTAATCACTTCTTCACCTGGTCAGTGGGAGAAGGATTTCCACCCCACAATACTAACACTGGGCCGATGAGATGGACAGAAGTTTTAGTCTTTCCTTCTGAATGGAATGGAGAACCAGGGGCTGCGGGGGAGGCAGGCTTTGTGGTAACAAAACTGCCTGTGGTTCCTGCAGAAAGACTTTAATAATTGCTTTAATAATTCCTTGGGCTGGCAGGGCAGTGGGGCCTACTCCTCAGGTATAAGCAGGAACTGTACCTATGTCTGGTCACTGTAATGAGAATTGTTCGGCAGCACAGGGAGGGGGACTTGCATTGAGTCCGTGAAAAGCTCTCCCAGTTTTTACCAGACGTCAAGGCAACATGTGATGTTGGGTCTTAATTTTAGACCTTACACCACATGTATGTAACTTGCTTTTAGTGAAAGATAAGATGAAGTGTTAGTAAAGATTAGTAAATTAAGTAGATATAAATTAGTTATTTAAAAGTCAGGTTCATAGTATAAATAAAATCTGGACAGAATGCTGTGGCTCACACCTATAATCTAGCACTTTGGGAGGCTGAGGCAGGCAGATTGCTTGAGCTCGGGGGTTACCAGCCTGGGAAACATGGTGAAACTGTATCTACAAAAAATACCAAAATTAGCCAGGTGTAGTGTTGCACACTTGTGGTCCCAGCTACTTGAGAGGCTGAGGTAGGAGGATCACTTGAGCCTGGGAAGTCGAGGCTGCAGTGAACCATGATGGTGCCACTGCACTACAGCCTGGGTGACAGAATGAAACCATGTCTCAAAAAAAAATTTAAATTTGGATTTATGAGTCTGTTGTTACACTGGGGTTAGAATTGTAGATAAACGGAGCCGGGCGCGGTGGCTCACGCCTGTAATCCCAGCACTTTGGGAGGCCGAGGCGGGTGGATCACGAGGTCAAGAGATCGAGACCATCCTGGTCAACATGGTGAAACCCCGTCTCTACTAAAAATACAAAAAATCAGCTGGTCATGGTGGCGCATGCCAGTAATCCCAGCTACTCAGGAGGCTGAGGCAGGAGAATTGCCTGAACCCAGGAGGCGGAGGTTGCGGTGAGCCGAGATGGCGCCATTGCACTCCAGCCTGGGTAACGAGAGCGAAACTCTAAAAAAAAAAAAAAAAAAAAAGAATTGTAGATAAACGGCTGGATGTGGTGGCTCAGGCCTGTAATGCCAGCATATTGGGAGGCTGAGGCAGGCAAATTACCTGAGGTTAGAAGTTCGAGACCACCCTGACCAACACTGAGAACCCCTCGTCTCTACTAAAAATATGCCTTTAATCCCAGCTACTCGGGGCGCGGAGGCAGGAGAATTGCTTGAACCTGGGAGGTGGAGGTTGTGGTGAGCTGAGATTGTGCCATTGCACTCCAAGCTGGGTGACAGAGAAAGACTTTGTCTCAAAAAAAAAGAAAAAAGGGGGCCGGGCGCGGTGGCTCAAGCCTGTAATCCCAGCACTTTGGGAGGCCGAGGCGGGTGGATCACAAGGTCAAGAGATTGAGACCATCCTGGTCAACATGGTGAAACCCCGTCTCTACTAAAAATACAAAAAAGTAGCTGGGCATGGTGGCATATGCCTGTAATCCAAGCTACTCAGGAGGCTGAGGCAGGAGAATTGCCTGAACCCAGGAGGCGGAGGTTGCGGTGAGCCGAGATCGTGCCATTGCACTCCAGCCTGGGTAACAAGAGCGAAACTCCGTCTCAAAAAAAAAAAAAAAAAAAAAAAGAATTATTCCATTCATCCATATTCACCCCGAAAACATGTATTAAGACTTATTTTGAGTCCACCAGATAGTATGTGTATAGGCTAAAAGGGTGAATCACATGCATGAGCCCAGGAGCTTATGGACTCATAAACACGGATCAGCAAGTCATGTAGGTTGTCGTGGGAGTAGTGTAAGCACACTTGGTTTTTTGTTGCAGTCTTTTTTGTTTTTGAGAAGGAGTCTCACTCTGTTGCCCTGGCTGGAGTGCGGTGATGCTGATGCGATCTCTCACCACATCTGCCTCTCTGGTTCAAGCGATTGTCCTGCCTCAGCCTCTTGAGTAGCTGGGATTACAGGCATGCACCACCATGCCCAGCTAATTTTTGTCTCTTTAGTAGAGACAGGATTTTGCCTCCCAAAGTGTTGGGATTACAGGCGTGAGCCACAGTGCTCGGCCCTGCAATCTTACATGAAATGATTGTTCTTGACATCTTTTTTTTTTTTTTTTTCTTTTGAGACAGAGTTTCGCTCTTGTTACCCAGGCTGGAGTGCAATGGCGCCATCTCGGCTCACCGCAACCTCCACCTCCTGGGTTCAGGCAATTCTCCTGCCTCAGCCTCCTGAGTAGCTGGGATTACAGGCACGTGCCACCATGCCCAGCTAATTTTTTGTATTTTTAGTAGAGACGGGGTTTCACCATGTTGATCAGAATGGTCTCGATCTCTCGACCTCGTGATCCACCCGCCTCGGCCTCCCTGTTCTTGACATCTTGTTCCCAAGTTCTTCTACCTCGTCTTGAAATGTATTTATGTCAGTGAGACTCACCTGTCTAAAATTGTTCCATAGGTATGCTGAAGTTAACTTGAGGCTTGAGATGACCAGTATCTTGCACATAAAGTGGGTAAAACCTTATTTATGAGCCAGTCTTCCTCACCAGACTGTTTAACTTGTTTGTTTTCATGTATGTATCTGTTAATGTTGTAACTTACCCAAGATCTCACTCCCAGCTGGAAGCAAGATGGATCTCCAAACTCCCCACCTAAGACTTTTTTCATGGAATCATCTTGCCTTATGAATGGCATGGAGAGGACTAGGGATGCTTTTCCAAATTAAGGGAGGTGTCAGTTCTGGAAAGCTTTCGGGTAGACAGTCTCACTCACGAGATTATGACTGACACTGTTAAGAACTCAGTACCTTTTTGACTTGAGTGACTTCTTTCAGTGTTTTGGTATTATTTTGTCTTAGGTTGTGGGGTGACCTTTCTTTTGGGACTTTGGTAGTTTCTACCTTGGCATTCTTGTACCTTTTGAGCACTGAAGGTTGTATTTTATCCTCTTTTTTTTTTTTTTTTTTTGAGACGGAGTTTCGCTCTTGTTACCCAGGCTGGAGTGCAATGGCGCCATCTCGGCTCACCGCAACCTCCGCCTCCTGGGCTCAGGCAATTCTCCTGCCTCAGCCTCCAGTAGCTGGGATTACAGGCACGCGCCACCACGCCCAGCTAATTTTTTGTATTTTTAGTAGAGACGGGGTTTCACCATGTTGACCAGGATGGTCTCGATCTCTTGACCTCGTGATCCACCCGCCTCGGCCTCCCAAAGTGCTGGGATTACAGGCTTGAGCCACCGCGCCCGGCCGAAGGTTGTATTTTAAAAACAGTAATATGGAAAGGTTCAGAAATACATAAGAGCAGATACAGTAATACAGTGAGTTCCTGTGTATCCATCACCCAGCTTTTACCCATCACTGAATCCCTGTTTTCTACAGAAAATTTTTGGTTTTTCAAAAATTAGGGTGGAAATTTTATACTTGTAGTAAGCCTGTTGGTATGTAAGAGTTAGCTGTCTTGGTGGCATATAGGAATAAGCACTTAGATCATTCTCACAGTTCTGTGAGTCACTGGGACCATTTTGTTCTGTGCCCTGTTGTGATCAGGAGATGCTCTTCATGTGGCTATGGCAGGGTGTGAAGGGGTAGGCAGAAGTAGGAGAGGCCTCTAGGGGTAGACTCAGAACTGGAACGCTGTTGCTTACACCTGCCTCCCATTGGCCAAAGCAAGCTTGATGGCCAAGGTGCAAATCAGGGGTGAGGGAGGATAGTCTTCTCATGTAATCATACAGGAAGCATATGTGCTTTGATGGGTAAATAAAAAACATTAGCCTTTTTCGTTTCTTGGGAGTAATACCAACTCAGTGTGATAATGTTGTCTTTACCATTATTGTAGTATTATCACTCCTTATTTAACTATCTCTTGTCTCTCTTCTTTGTGAAGACTAAAGGCTCTCACTTTTGTCTAGATCGCTTAGCATAATGAACACTTAGCGCATGCAGCACATATCCAGTAAATACTGCTTGAGTGGATGGATAAAGTAATTGAGGGGCCAGGTGGACGGCAAGTTAAGTTGCTTTGATTAAAAGCCAGTGTCTTATAACTTGCAGAATGGAAAAACTTAGCTAGTTAGGGTCCTGACTGAATTGCAGGTTAGTTTTGGGACTCAGTAGTTAACTGTGGGACTGAGAAATCCCAAGATGGGCCGGGCGCGGTGGATCACGCCGGTAATCCCAGCACTTTGGAAGACCGAGGAGGGTAGATCACGAGGTCAAGAGATTGAGACCATCCTGGCCAACATGGTGAAACTCTGTAAAAATATAAAAAATTAGCTGGGCATGGTGGCACGCGCCTGTAGTCCCAGCTACTCGGGAGGCTGAGGCAGGAGAATTGCCTGAACCCAAGAGGCGGAGGTTGCGGTGAGCCGAGATCGCGCCATTGCACTCCAGCCTGGGTAACGAGCGAAACTCTGTCTCAAAAAAAAAAAAAGAAATCCCAGGATATGCTAGAAAGCTGGATTGGCTGTTATAACCAGTCATAAACCTTGTTGCTAAAAACTATTTTTTCTCTGCTATCCACACTTTGCTTTAGTTTATTTGTCAACTGACTTTATGAGTTGTCCATTTGGGAAAAAACAATTGCAGTCTTTGGGAAGCCTCTGCTCCCTTTCTGGCCTTGAGGCTTGAGCCTTTTAGGTGCCATGGTCCTCACGTTCTCCAGAGGCCACCAGTACCATCCCACACACCCCAGCAGACACCTCTCCACAAGAATTGTTATCCTCTGATAACTGATACTGTGAAATCTTCTCAGCACGTGCCCAAATAGGCTAAATAAATAAATTAGCATATGCTTATATCCACGTGTTGTTAAGAAAACATATGAATGAGGCAATTTTGAGTTTCTTTGTATAGATTATTCAAAAGGACACATTTGAGAAACTGATAAATGTGTTTATAAACCAGATTTGTATATTGTAATGCCCAATTTTTTATTCTGCACTTACTTTTCTTACCAGATTTTTTTTTTTTCTTTTTTTGAAATGGAGTCTTGCTCTGCCACCAGGCTGGAGTGCAGTGGTGCAATTTCGGCTCACCGCAACCTCTCCCTCCTGGGTTTAAGTGATTCTTCCTCCTCAGCCTCCCAAGTAGCTGGGACCACAGGCGCGTGCCACCATGCCTGGCTAATTTTTTTGTATTTTTAGTAGAGACGGAGTTTCACTGTGTTGGCCAGGATGGTCTCGATCTCTTGACCTTGTGATCTGCCCACCTCGGCCTCCCAAAGTGCTGGGATTATAGGCGTGAGCCACCAAGCCCGGCCTATCAGAAAGCTTTGTTAATAAAGACTAGAACCTTTTTTAAAAAAAAAACATGGGATCAGAGTTTATGAAATCAGTTTTAACTTGGTGTTATATCATGATCCTAACTTTCTTCATAATTTGAAGAAATACACAGATTGGTGCTAGATTTAAATAATAAATATATTCATAATCAGTTAGTAATGAAGGAGATATTTTTTAGGAGAAGAGAAATGGAGTAAAATTTTGAATTGCATGTGAGCTGTCATGAGCATTCTATGAAAACCTCGTTTCATTTTGTATTATTTAGATTTGAAGACTGCTTCATTCTGCCTCCATTACCAGTGGTTTCTCTGTTCTGTGATCAATGTGATTCCCAAGAACTTCTTACGTAACAAACGAAATGAGCCAGGGGCGTGGAAAATATGACTTCTATATTGGTCTGGGATTGGCTATGAGCTCCAGCATTTTCATTGGAGGAAGTTTCATTTTGAAAAAAAAAGGCCTTCTTCGACTTGCCAGGAAAGGCTCTATGAGAGCAGGTAGGTTATGCCTTGTGTGACTTTGAAATGACTTCAGTGTGTACCTACATACGCAGGTTCTTTGATTGTGAAAGAGCACATCTTCATTCCTAGTGAGTGTATTTGGAACTTTGAACTGTTAAAGAGTTCTAAATGTTTACAGAATTGATGTTTGGTTATTTACAGTGAGAAAAGAAGTGAGAAGATGTCATAATTAGTTAACTCTACTCAGTCTTGCAGTTATCATCAAAGTAGGAGCAGGGAGCGATGCCAAATTAGCATACAGCATATTCTTTAAATTTTTTTTTTTTTTTTTTTTTTTTTTTGAGACGGAGTTTCGCTCTTGTTACCCAGGCTGGAGTGCAATGGCTCGATCTCGGCTCACCGCAACCTCCGCCTCCCGGGTTCAGGCAATTCTCCTGCCTCAGCCTCCTGAGTAGCTGGGATTACAGGCACACGCCACCATGCCCAGCTAATGTTTTGTATTTTTAGTAGAGACGGGGTTTCACCATGTTGACCGGGATGGTCTCGATCTCTTGACCTCGTGATCCACCCGCCTCGGCCTCCCAAAGTGCTGGGATTACAGGCTTGAGCCACCGCGCCCGGCCCATATTCTTTAAATTTTGATATGCCTGCAGGTTAGGCTGGGCATGGTGGCTCATGCCTGTAATCCCAGCACTTTGGGAGGCCAAGGCAGGCGGATCACCTGAGGTCACAAGTTCGAGACCAGGCTGGCCAACATGGTGAAACCCGTCTCTACTAAAATACAGAAATTGGCTGGGCACACTGGCCTGGCTTGTAATCCCAGTTACTCGGGAGGCTGAGGCAGGAGCTTGAACCTGGGAGGTGGAGGTTGCCAGTGAGCCGAGATCGAGCCTCTGCACTCCAGCCTGTGTGACAGAGTGAGACTTTGTCTCAAAAAGAAAAGTTCGTGGTTAGAATCAGAATTTATTTATTTATTTTTATTTTTTATTTTTTGGGAGACCGAGTCTTGCTCTGTCACCCAGGCTGGAGTGCAATGGCCTGGTCTCAGCTCATTGCAATTTCTGCCTCCCAAGTTCAAGCGATTCTCCTGCCCCAGCCTCCTCAGTAGCTGGGATTGCACACGCCTGCCACCACACCTGGCTAATTTTTGTGTTTTTAGTAGAGACAGGGTTTCACCATGCTGGCCAGGCTAGTCTCAAACTCCTGACCTTGTGATCCGCCCACCTCAGCCTCCCAAAGTGCTGGGATTAACAGGTGTGTGCCACCGCCCCTGGTCAGAATCAGAATTTATTAAAGACTGTACTCTTTTGTCCATGATAGTAGAAGTTCTGGCTTTGACCTTTGACATTTTGGCAGGAAGGAAAGAAAGGGTTTCCCTTGCTAGAAGAGTATCCAGTTTAGTGAACTTCTGGGTGGTGTAGGTTGTTTCTCTAGAAATCACTGACAAGTCCTAAGACCCTGTGGGGTAATCAGGGTGATTGGCCCCACTCTTGACTCCTGTATCAGGGATATTCATGGTAGCCTCAATGTTAAGTGGCATTATGGTCACATCCCATTATTCTGCCCTGGCTTCATTTCTAGACCTGATTGGACCTCATGAGGAGATCTGCTTTGGCAGTAAACAGTACCACGATTCTCTCTACCCTGTGCCATCTCTGTGGCAAACCTAATTCAGCAGTCTCAAAAACATGAAATGATAACCTCTGTAGGGTTTAGTGGACAGAGGAGAAACAAACTGACAGCATCTACTGCTTGTTCCCCCAGTCCCTGATGCTCGGTCCTGAGGCAGGTGCTCTCACTGTTCATGGTGGATACGCTTCATTCACCTTGGCAAGATAATCATTAAGAAATTGTCAGAGAAATCCCCTGAGTCATGCAGAAACCTTTATTTAAAGTAGCAACTGAGATAATTAAAATCTGTCATTATTAATAGTTACAATTTATACAGGAGTCTGACAATCTTCCAAAGATGTGAAATATCTTTTCATTCACAGGTCAAGGTGGCCATGCGTATCTTAAGGAATGGTTGTGGTGGGCCGGACTGCTGTCGAGTATGTATAAAGAACATTGCAAGAAAAATATGATAGCTGTGTATTAAAATATTTGCATATGGTCTTATAGTCTCATTACTAGCAAGTTTTAAAACTTTAAGTCTTGTTTTTTAATTAACATAATTGAAATAATATAATTTAAAAGTTCAGCAGTTTAGTATCACTTTCTTTTGGTTTTTTAATTATTTGTAGGCAGATAGGTAATTATTTAGTAGGTATTAAATGATACACGAGATGCTTTGATAAAGGCATGCAGTGTGAAATAACTGCATCATGGTGTACGTGGGGTATCTGTCCCCTCAATAATTACCCTTTGTGGTACAAACAATCCAGTTAGTACTCTTTCTTTTTGAGATAGGGTCTCACTCTGTCGCCCAGCCTGGTGTGCAGTAGTGTGATCATGACTCACTGGTGTTAACCTTCCAGGCTCAAGCAGTCCTCCTGCCTTAGCCCGCTCCGTAGCTAGGACTACAAGTGCGTGCCACCATGGCCGACTATTTTTTTTAATTTTAATTTTATTTATTTACAGGGTCTTGCCATGTTGCCTAGGCTGTTCTCGAACGTCTGGGCTCAAGCATTCCTTGAGCCTCACCTCTCAAAGTGCTGGTCCCAGTTATGCCCTTAGTTATTTTAAAATGTACAATTATTGGGCCAGGCGTGGTGGCTCGCACTTTTGGAGGCCGAGGTGGGCAGATCACTTGTGGTCAGGAATTTGAGGCCAGCCTGGCCCACATGGTGAAACCCCATCTCTACTAAAAGTATAAAAAATTAGCTGGGCAGGATGGTGGACTCTTGTAATCACAGCTACTTGGGAGGCTGAGGCACGAGAATCGCTTGAACTTGGGAGGTGGAGGTTGCAGTGAGCTGATGTTGCACCACTGGGCTCCAGCCTGGGAGATAGAGCAAGACTCAGTCTCAGAAAAATAAATAAGTAGATAGGTAGGTAGGTAGGTAGGTAGGTAGGTAGATAGATAGATAGAGAGCCTGTAGTCACCTCGTTGTGCTATCAGATACTTGGTGTTAGTCACAAAGTATTCAAGTCTTTCTATTTCTTGTACCGTAATAGGGCATTTAAGTAGAATGATGAGGCTTTCTTTTTACCCATCTGATTAAAACATGTTTGATATGCCTGTATGTTTTTAAAATTTTTGCTTAATGTAAGAAAGTAATTTTGAAAGTGAAAGTTAAGAATTTTATCTTAGTTTGTTCCCCCTGTTTGTTCTCATTCCAAATTGAAAAGAGGCATTCGTTTGATAAGAGTTATCAAATAAAAATACAAAAAATCAGGGCCGGGCCCGGTGGCTCAAGCCTGTAATCCCAGCACTTTGGGAGGCCGAGATGGGTGAATCACAAGGTCGAGAGATCGAGACCATCCTGGTCAACATGGTGAAACCCCGTCTCTACTAAAAAAAGATACAGAAAATTAGCTGGGCATGGTGGCACGTGCCTGTAATCCCAGCTACTCAGGAGGCTGAGGCAGGAGAATTGCCTGAGCCCAGGAGGCGGAGGTTGCGGTGAGCCGAGATTGCGCCATTGCACTCCAGCCTGGGTAACGAGCGAAACTCCGTCTCAAAAAAAAAAAAAAAAATACAAAAAATCATCATGCCTATATTGGTGATGCCCTTTGAAAAGGTACATGGAAGAAAATTATTCTGAAGACACTGACCCTTGACTGTTGAGTCAGCAAATACCTACTGATCATATCTTGTACGCCAGGCATTCTTCTAGGTGCTAGAGACACTTTAGTGAGAGGAAATCTCCACCCACATGAAGTTTACATTGTAGATGGGAGACATCAAACAAGATGAAGAAGTCAAAATGTGTGTGTGTGTGTGTGCGCCTGTGTGTGGTGATAAATGAGAAGGAGTATTATGAAACAGGTTAGACAGGTTTATTGGTATGTTAGATTGGGAGCCAGGGCCAGCTTCTCTGAAAGACACTTGTGTGATGATGTAAAGGAAGCGAGTGATCTGCCCAGATGATATTTGGGGGAAACACTTGAAGCACAAGGAAACTGCAGCTGTGAAGGCCATGGTGTGGGCGCGCATGCCACGCCCATTAGTGTGTATAGATAGCCCTCAGGGACTCACCTGGTGTTCGTACCTTTCTCTAATCCCCTTTCACAGTGACTCAGTGCAGTTCAAAACAGTGATCCAAGAACACCACCGAAATGATGACATTTGGCTTCTAGCACTGCAGCTTTTTCCTTGATGCCTTGACTTGCTCACTTTGAGGGAAGCCAGCTTCTCAGGTGTATGAGTACACTCTGGCAGGTTAGAGAGCTCCCCGGGCTCTCACCGTGCCAGGACTTACTTGCCGGTCCTGAGAGTGAGCACCTCGGATATGGGTCCTCTGGCTCCTACTCAGTCTTCAGATGACTGCAGCCCTGGCTTTAATCTTTTTATTTACTTATTTATTTGAGACAGGGTCTCACTCTGTTGCCCAGGCTGGAGTGCAGTGGCATGATATGGCTCACTGCATCCTCAACCTGCCAGTTTCCACTTCAGCCTCCCAAGTAGCTGGGACCACAGGTTCATGCCACTAGGCTGGCTAATTTTTGTTTATTTTTTTTCAGAGACGAGGTCTCACTGTGTTACCTAGGTTGGTCTTCAGTTCCTGGGCTCAAGCAATCCTCCTACCTTGCCCTCCCAAAATGCTGGGATTATAGGCATGAACCACCACACCCTGCCTTAAATCTTGGCTTTACCCTCTTTTTTTTTTTTTTCTCCTGAGACGGAGTTTCACTCTTATTACCCATGCTGGAGTACAATGGCGCAGTCTCGGCTCACCGCAACCTCCACCTCCTGGGTTCAGGCAATTCTCCTGCCTCAGCCTCCTGAGTAGCTGGGATTACAGGCACGCGCCACCATGCCCAGCTAATGTTTTGTATTTTTAGTAGAGACGGGGTTTCACCATGTTGACCGGGATGGTCTCGATCTCTCGACCTCGTGATCCACCCGCCTCAGCCTCCCAAAGTGCTGGGATTACACGTGTGAGCCACCGCGCCCGGCCGGCTTCACCCTCTTGAAAGACCCTAAGTGAGAACTACTTACCTCTTTCTAAAGTCTTGACTAACAGGAACCATGGGGGGAAATGGTTATTATTGTTCTAAACTGCCAAATTTTGGGGTGCTTTGTTAAGCAATATTAGATTACCAAAACTTTGGGAAACATTAAAGGGGCAGGTGTAGGAGTAAGGGAGTGAACGTAGGGGAAAGTAGCAAGAAGTAAGTTCAGAGAACTCAAGAGGCCCAGATTATGTGGGGCCATGTAGGTAAATGAGAAGGATTTTTTTTTTCTCTTTTTTTGAGATGGCGTTTTGCTCTTGATGCCCAGGCTGGAGTGCAGTGGCGTGATCTTGGCTCACTGCAACCTCCACCTCCCGGGTTCAAGTGATTCTCCTGCCTCAGCCTCCCGAGTAGCTGGGATTACAGGCCTGCACCATCATGCTAATTTTTTTTTTTTTTTTGAGGCAGAGTGTCTCTCTCTCTCTTACCCAGGCTGGAGTGTAGTGGCATGATCTTGGCTCAGTGCAACCTCTGACTCCCTGATTCAAGCGATTCTCCTGTTTCAGCCTTCTAAGTAGCTGGGATTACAGGCTTGTGCCACCATGCCCAGCCAATTTTTGTATTTTTAGTAGAAACAGGGTTTCACCATGTTGGTCAGGCTGGTCTTGAACTCCCGACCTCAGATGATCCGCCCGCCTCGGCCTCCCAAAATGCTGGGATTACAGGCGTGAGCCACTGTGCCTGGCCCAGGACTTCTCTAATGGGAAGTCATTAAAGACTTGAGCAGAGTGATATGGATAGTCTTAGATTTTAATAGGATCTCTCTGCTGTGTTGAAGCATAGCCTGCACAGGGGCAGAAGCAGAGAAACCAGTTAAGAGGCCACTGCAGTAATCAGGTAAAAGGTGATGATAGGATTCCAGTGTAGTAGCATTGTGGTGAGATGTGGGAGGGTTCTGGATCTGTTTTGAAGGTACAACTGACAAGATTTGCTCATTCACCCAAATGTAGGGTATGAAAGACGAGAGTTCAGAATGTCATGATGGTTTTCTGCCGTAGTAACTGGAAGAATTGAGTTGCCTTATGGTAAGACTGCAGGAAGGACCTGGGCCGATGGTGTGGGGGGATAGCAGGAGTTTGATCTGGATGTGTTCCAGTTAGAAATGCCTGTAAGATATTCAAGTAGGTTTGTGAAGTTGGTAGATCTCAGAGGAAAAAGCTAGAGAAACTTCCGCTCTAGAGGTAACTGCAGACTCTAGAGGAGGTAGCTGAGACAGTGAACCTTTGAACAGAACCAACACAGCTCAGAGTCCGGTGCTGCCAAGAGCAGGAGCCACCACCTGCTCTGACTCACAGACTCTACAGATACTGGAGGTGTCATGACCCTAAAACAAATGTTTTTACCACAAGTAACTCATTCTTACAATAACCTAGACCACAGTGACATTATAGATTTGCAAAACAACTAGAAATTACAGAATTAAAAACAGTAATGAAAATGAGTGAATTGACTTAACAGTAGGTTAGATATGACTGAAGAAAGTCTTAGTGAACCAGAGGTAGTTGGGAAGAGATTGTCTAGAGTGAAGCAAGCAAGAAAAAAGGATAGAAAATGTAGATAAGAGGGTTATGCAACTTAGGATTCAGCAAATAGTTGAAGTCTCAATAAAAAGGGACACAGAATCAGAAGCAATGTTCTAAGAGAAATGGCTGAGAATTTTCTGAAACTGACCAAAGTTATCAAACCACAGACCCAAGAAGCCCTATAAAACCTACGCAGAACCTATGAAAAGAAAACTGGGCCTAAACATAGCATGGTAAAACCGATGAAAAGCAAAGACAGAGTATCTTAAAAGCATCCCAAGAAAAACCTCATAGTACCCTCAAGGGGGCAGCAGATTGACACCTAAGTTTCAGCAACATTGGAAGTAGAAAACAGTTGGAGATACATCTTCAAAGTGCTGAAAAAGTAGCTGGCAGTACAATACTCAGTGAAAATATCTTTGAAGAATGAAACTAGGCTGGGCATGGTGGATTACATGCCTATAATCCCAGCACTTTGGAGGCCCAGGCAGGTGGATCACAAGGTCAGGAGTTAGAAACCAGCCTGGCCAACACAGTGAAATTTTTGTTATTTCTGTCTCTACTAAAAGTACAAAAAATCAGCTGAGTGTGGTGGTGCACACCTGTAGTCCCAGTTACTCAGGAGGCTGAGGCAGAATAATCTCTGGAACCTGGGAGGAGGAGGTTGCACTCCAGCCTGGGTAACCGTGCAAGACTTGATCTCAAAAAAAAAACCAAAAAACTAAAAACTAAAAAATGTTTTGGATAAACTGAGACTGTAATTATACTAAAGCAGATTTAACAGAGTATTCAGGCCACGCGCAGTGGCTCATGCCTGTAATCTTAGCACTTTGGGAGGCCGAGGCACACGTGAGGTCAGGAGTTCAAGACCAGCCTGACCAATATGATGAAACCCCGTCTCTATTAAAAAATACAAAAATTAGTGTGATCAGGTGTGGTGGCGCACGCCTGTAATCCCAGCACTTTGGGAAGCCAAGGTGGGTGGATCACCTGAGGTCAGGAGTTTGAGACCAGCCTGGCCAACATGGTGAGACTAAAAATACAAAAAATTATCCAGGCATCGTGATGGGTGCCTGTAATCCCAGCTACTCGGGAGGCGGAGGCAGGAGGATTGCTTGAACCCAGGAAGTAGAGGTTGCAGTGAGCCAAGATTGCGCCACAGCACTCCAGCCTGGGCGACAGAGTGCGACTCTGTCTCAAAAAACGAACAAAAAACATCTGTCTTAATGGAAGTTTAGAAATTCAGAAGGGAAAAAAAATACAGGAGGAAAAGTGATGAGTACATCTGAGTGAATGCTGATGACTAAACATAAGAGATGGCTCATGGACTTAATATCCATGCATAAAATTTAAAAAATAACTGATGAAATCAACTGGAAGGAAGACAACGGATTACGAGTTCTAAGGTTAGAAATAGGTGAAAATAACCTTGAAGAATGAAACTAGGTCCGGAACGGTGACTCACACCTATAATGCCAGCATCATTCAGAAGGAAATAAAGCTAAATATTAACATTAGACTTGACAAGTTAAGTATACATATAAAAAAACTAGAGTATTCAATTTAAAAAATGGGTAATTTTCTAATTAAAAAGCTGGGCTGGGCACAGTGGCTCATCCTGTAATCCCATCACTTTGGGAGGCTGAGGTGGGCAGATCACAGGCCAAGAGATCAAGCTGACCATCCTGGCCAACATGGTGAAACCTCATCTCTACTAAAAAAAAAAAAAAAAAGAGGTGGATGTGGTGGCACATGCCTGTAGTCCCAGCCACTCTGGAGGCTGAGGCAGAATTGCTGAACCTGGAAGCAGAGGTTGCAGTGAGCGGAGATTGTGCCATTGCACCCCAGCTTGACAAAGGAGCTATCAAAAAAAAAAAAGTTTGGTAAAAGCTTTTTCTTTTCTTTCTCTTTCTTTCTTTCTTTTTTTTAAAAGTCAATTCTAGATAAATAGGAATTAGTGAATAAAAAGAGATTTGAGGCATTGCTATCAAATTCCTTGACTGAATTTTAATGGTAACAAACCATGTTTAAAAGGCATTTTAGGAATTAAAAAGGAGAGAGTCTACTAAGAGAATAAAAAGACAAATTGCAGACATTATGAATGAAGATAATTGTCCTAAGTTGAACTAACAAAAGATTTATGTCTGAAATGTATAAAGAATTACCTTAAATCAATAAGAGAAAATGGAAGATAAACTTGAACAGTAATTCCCTAAAAGATTTCACAGGGTCAGTAAACAAATGAAAATGAGAAAAGCAAACAAAGTGTAGCAGAGTTGTCCGATACCCCTCGCAGATCAGCCGGGCAGAAGTGGGGCAATGGGAGCTCTTAGATGCTGCTGAGTGAAAATCAGCGTAACTATTTTGGAAAAACCAGAAGCCAAGAAGCTTCCTTTTTTGAGATCATGCCTCTTCCCTGCGTAGGGTTCAATTTAGGTAATTCCTTTTGGGACTTAATTTCCAAATGTTCTCAAGTTTCCTTATCAGAGAGCCCCTGTCTAATGACGTGACACCTAGTAGCAAGCCTTCTCTTTCACTAACACTCGCTGTTTTTCTTCATAACACTTTTAACTTCTTGGCACATGTGCTCACTAAGTCTGTCTTCCCTCACTGAAAGTTTTATGAGAGCAGAGTCTTGGTTTTGCTCCCTGCTGTATTTCCTGTTCCTGGAACAGGACCTGGCATATCTCATGATTTGCATTTTTAAAAAAAACCAGTATGGCTTCTTGTAAGTGATTTTTATTTACTGCCCTAGGATATGAATATCTATTTAGAATTTATATTAAAATTCCTTTATGTCAGCATGAACTAGATTTCTTCAGTTAGATTATAGATATGATATGTGTTGTTTCTTGAATGTTTCTAATTGACTTGGACTCTTACTGTAATGTTGGAAATTTACAGAACCATAACCGTTATTAATACATTGGAGAAATATGGAGGTTACTAAATTCAGTTGAAATAATCTATAGATATTGTATAAAATGAAGGCATTTCCAAGTTGGGTACATATATTCTTATCTGAGATTGTTTCTTTTGTCTGTCTCCAAGTGGGAGCTGGTGAGGTGGCCAACTTTGCTGCTTATGCGTTTGCACCAGCCACCCTAGTGACTCCATTAGGCGCTCTCAGCGTTCTCGTAAGGTAAGGACACAATATTTTTCATCTAGAAACAGTATAGTGAGTATCTTAGTCTGTAAAATATTAGTTACCATCTGATTACATGTGTTCAACACAGTTTACATTTCAACAACCTGGAGAACTTTGCTTTTTACACTATGTAGCACTTACTTTTAAAACGTTATTTTCTGTGTATAGGCAAGCTATTGATTTGTGAAAGAAAATGCTTTGTCTTCTTGTATTCAGAGCCAGTACTAGTTATACTTTGAGTTCAGTTTTTTAAAATTCAAAGTTGGCCAGGCACGGTGGCTCACGCCTGTAATCCCAACACTATGGGAGGCTGAGGCGGGTGGGTCACCTGAGGTCAGGAGCTCGACACCAGCCAGACTAACATGGTAAAACCCCGTCTCTACTAAAAATACAAAAATTAGACGTGAGCGGTGGCGGGCGCCTGTAGTCTGAGCTACCTGGGAGGATGAGACAGGAGAATTGCTTGAACCTGGGAGGCGGAGGTTACAGTGAGCTGAGAATGCACCACTGCACTCTAGCCTGGGCTGCAGAGCGATACTCTTATTTCAAAAATAAATAAATAAAAAATAGGCCGGGCGCGGTGGCTCAAGCCTGTAATCCCAGCACTTTGGGAGGCCGAGGCGGGTGGATCACGAGGTCAAGAGATCGAGACCATCCTGGTCAACATGGTGAAACCCCTTCTCTACTAATGGTGCAAAAAATTAGCTGAGCATGGTGGCGCGTGCCTGTAATCCCAGCTACTCAGGAGGCTGACGCAGGAGAATTGCCTGAACCCAGGAGGTGGAGGTTGCGGTGAGCCGAGATCGCGCCATTGCACTCCAGCCTGGGTAACAAGGGCGAAACTCCGTCTCAAAAAAAAAAAAAAAAAAAATACATAGGTAAAATTCAAAGTTAGGCCTGGCACGGTGGCTCACGCCTGTAATCCCAGCACTTTGGGAGGCTGAGGCGGGTGGATCACGAGGTCAAGAGATCGAGACCATCCTGATCAACATGGTGAAACCCCGTCTCTACTAAAAATACAAAAAAATTAGCTGGCCATGGTGGCGCACGTCTGTAATCTCGGCTACTCAGGAGGCTGAGGCAGGAGAATTGCCTGAACCCAGGAGGCGGAGGTTGCGGCGAGCTGAGATTGCACCATTGCACTCCAGCCTGGGTAACAAGAGTGAAACTCCGTCTCAAAAAAAAAAAAAAATTCAAAGTTACACTCAACTCAGCATTTATCATTGAGTGCATGTGCACTTTGGTAGGGCTTGGTAGCTGATGAGTAGATTTCTATGCCTGGCCTGGGGTGCTTGTTTTGAATGAGTGATCTAAGACTTGTCCCATTTCTGCTTTTTAATGATTAGCCCAAACATTGCTAAGCCCATACTGAAGTCTGGATCTTGGTTACCATTCCCAAAGTGGATTGACCGATTTTTATCTGATTTTTTTTCCCCCAAAAAACCACTATAAATAAAATGGGGTTATGGTAAAAGTTATTGCCCTTTACCCTTTACCCTTAATGTTCTTTATAGTAGACTTACTACTGTATTTGTTGGTTTATGCTGTATTTTCTTTGTAGGGTTAGCTAAAACTAGCTATAAGTTATTAAAATCTGATAATTGAATAGGCAAATTGTATACAATTAAATGAACACATAAGAGGGGTGCATCACCCAATAGAAATAACTTAAGACTGAGCAAATTTTAAGCGTTGGTGGTTTGTATATAGATTATTATTATTATTATTATTATTATTTTTATTTTTCCTTTGGAGATGGAGTCTCACTGTGTCACCCAGGCTGGAGTGCAGTGGTGCTATCTTGACTCACTGCCACCTCCGCCCTCCAGCTCCTGCCTCAGCCTCCTGAGTAGCTGGGATTTATAGGTGCCTGCCACCAGGCCTGACTGATTTTTGTATTTTTAGTAGGAGGTTTTGCTATGTTGGCTAGCCTGATCTTGAACTCCTGACCTGAGGTGATTCACCTGCCTTGGGCTCGGAAAGTGCTGGGATGACAGGTGTGAGCCACCATGCCTGGCCTGGATATAGGTTCTTAATTAGGATATAAATTTATACAAATTCATTCTTTATTATAAATTTCATATCGACTTCCTGCAGTGGAAAGATGTTAAGTATACAGGTGTAGTGTATGATGAAGCAAATGATTCCTTAGAAACATTTGCGTGTTATGACAGAATGTACTTTTTTATTCCCTTGGCGAAAGCCAGAATCTTCATAAGTTCACATTGTTTTAGTTTGAGTTCAATGATTTAAATTAGGAGTTTTATTGGTATTTGTAAAATAAAAGTAGCTGAATATTTTAACGTTCTCAACCTTTTTTCCTCCCCGTTTTAGTGCCATTCTTTCTTCATACTTTCTAAATGAAAGACTTAATCTTCATGGGAAAATTGGGTGTTTGCTAAGTATTCTAGGATCTACGGTTATGGTCATTCACGCTCCAAAAGAAGAGGAGATTGAGACTCTAAATGAAATGTCTCACAAGCTAGGTGATCCAGGTAAGAAAAAGAAAAGTCTGACTAGTCTTCTTGCGGTTTGTTTTTTAACTTAGTTTTTACTGTAATGAGAACGTGGTGTGCACGTAAGGAGAGAGAACTTGTCCTTCCTGGTTAGTCGTCTTCCCTACTTTGTCTTATCAGTCCCAAGCCTGTGTTTTTTCTGTTCTTTAACTCTGTATATGTAAATTGCATGCTTCTATTGCTAGTACTTAAGTCCTTGGCTTTAGGCATTATCTGTTTTCCCTTTTATTATTATTATTATTATTATTATTATTTTGAGACAGACTCTCTGTCACCAGGCTGGAGTGCAGTGGCATGATCTGGCCTCACTGCAACCTCCGCCTCCCAGGTTCAAGCGATTCTCCTGCCTCAGCATCCCGAGTAGCTGGGACTACAGGCGCACACCACCATGGCCAGCGGATTTTTGTATTTTTAGTAGAGACAAGGTTTCACCATGTTGGCCAGCATAGTCTTGATCTCTTGGCCTTGTGATCTGCCTGCCTCGGCCTCCCAAAGTGCTGGGATTACAGGCGTGAGCCATCACGCCCGGCCATTTGTTTTACCTTTTATCTACTGTATTTGTATAGTTTTATTTGGAGTATTTGTTTACATTATCATCATCGTTGATACATAACTTTATTATTATTTTTTTTTTTGAGACAGTCTTGCTCTGTCACCAGGCGCCAGGCTGGAGTGCAATGGCATGATCTCGGCTCACTGCAACCTCCGCCTCCTGCGTTCAGGCAATTCTCCTGCCTCAAACTCCCAAGTAGCTGGGACTACAGACGTGTGCCACCACACCCAGCTAATTTTTATATTTTAGTAGAGACCGGGTTTCACTATGTTGGCCAGGATGGTCTCGATCTCTTGACCTCGTGATCCGCCTGCCTCGGCCTCCCAAAGTGCTGGGATTAACAGGTGTGAGCCACTGCGCCTGGCTATAACTTTATTCTTATCTTAGCCTTTATTATGATTACTTTTCCTTTCCTGTATGATTTAAGTTTTTCCAGAACTAGTAATTATCTTGTTTGCACAGTTTTTTATGAATTGATCCATGTAAGGTGAAACTCTTCCCCAGTTGACTTATTCTACTCTCAGTAATTTCAGAGAGGTATTCTATGTTTCATCTGTTTTGGAAATTTCTCTCAGTGCCTTCTGTGCGGCCTGAATCTAGGTGGGTGTCTCCAGGCTGCCAGCACAGCTGTTACTTGCATTTCCCTTCAGCAGCTCCCTGGGGATTCCCTCCAGTTTGCTTTTTCTTGGATCCCTTATTTCCAGATTCCTGAGTTTGCTACTTCATTTTGGTGGTGCCACTCTAGAGGAGGCAAGAACAGGCATGAAAAGATGAGACTTTTCAAGACCTTGTTTATCTCAAAATGTCTTTACCGGATTGTGACCACCACTGTCTTCTCATTTCTGGTATTACTGCGGAGAAATCAAACAGTTTATTCCTTATCTTTTACATGCAACCAAGTTTTTTGTTTTTGGAAACATGTAGGATATTCTCTTTCCCTACGATGTCTGAAATTTCCCACTGACATACCTAGATATGGATCCATTTATGCCCATTGTGCTGGGTGCCTGATGGTTGATTTTATTTTGAGACAGGGTCTTGCTCTGCTGCCCAGGCTGGAGTGCAGTGGCGTACTCTCAGCTCACCGCAGCCTTCTCCTCCCCACCTCAAGTGATTCTTCCACCTCAGCCTCCCAAGTAGCTGGGACTACAGGTGTGTGCCACTGTGTCCAGCCAGTTTTTAAATTTTTTTGGGTAGAAACGGGGTTTTGCCATTTTGGCCAGGCTGGTGTTGACAAACTGCTGACCTCCAGTAATCTGCCCACCTCAGCGTCCCAAAGTGCTGCGATTGCAGGTGTGAGCTACTGCGCCCCGCCTGATGGTGTGAGCTACTGCGCCCCACCTGATGGTGTGTTTTTCTTTTTCTTTTAATTTTTTTTTTTTTTTGAGACAGGTTTTGCTCTTGTTGCCCAGGCTGGAGTGCAATGGTGCAATCTCGGCTCACTGCAACCTCTGCCTCCTGGGTTCACACGATTCTCCTGGCTCGGCCTCCCAAGTAGCTGGGATTTCAGGCGCCTGCCACCCATGCCCAGCTAGTTTTTGTATTTTCAGTAGAAACCGAATTTCACCATGTTGGCCAGGATGGTCTTAACTCCTGATCTCGGGTGATCCACCTCAGCCTCCCAGTGCTGGGATTACAGGTGTCAGCCATGGTGCCTGGCCTGACGGGTCTTTTAAATTTGAAAATTTATGTGTGACTTTTGGGAGCTGAATACTCCTTTGATACTCTTTCTTGCTTTTTCTTTGCAAGATTCTTACTCATCTGTTTATTGATGTTCTTGATATAGAACCCTAACCCTAACCTAGATCATTAGTTATTTTCCCCTCATTTTACCATTTTGTCTTTTTGCTCTGCCTTTGGGGAGATTTGCTCTTTTTTTCTCCCCAGCCCTTTTGAGTTTTTATTTCTGTGGTTATATTGTTAATTTCTAAGAGTTTACGGAGTCTGTTCTTTGAATTGTTAGTTACTTTAAAATTGTCGTCTGCTAACGTTAGTTTCTGACTTCTTTGTGGGCCTGATTCTGTGTGTTTCTTTTTTGTTTTTAGGCGTTTAGTTTTGCCTTTTGTCTTTTTTTTTTTTTTAAGATGGAGTCTCACTCTTACTTGCCCAGGCTTGAGTGCAATGGTGTGATCTTGGCTCACTGCAACATCCGCCTCCTGAGTTCCAGCAGTTCTCCTGCCTCAGCCTCCTGAGTAGCTGGGATTACAGGCGCGTACTGCCATGCCTGGCTTATTTTCTATTTTTTGGTAGAGACGGGGTTTCTCCATGTTGGTCAGGCTGTTCTTGAACTTCTGACCTCAAATGGCCGCCTGCCTTGGCCTCCCAAAGCGCTGGGATTCCAAGTGTGAGCCACTGCACCTGGCGTTGCCTTTTTTTTTTTTTTTTTTTTTTTTTTGAGACAGAGTTTCGGTCTTGTTACCCAGGCTGGAGTGCAATGGCGCGATCTCGGCTCACCGCAACCTCCGCCTCCTGGGCTCAGGCAATTCTCCTGCCTCAGCCTCCTGAGTAGCTGGGATTACAGGCACGCGCCACCATGCCCAGCTCATTTTTAGTATTTTTAGTAGAGACGGGGTTTCACCATGTTGACCAGCATAGTCTCGATCTCTTGACCTCGTGATCCACCCGCCTCGGCCTCCCAAAGTGCTGGGATTACAGGCTTGAGCCACCGCGCCCGGCCGGCTTTTTTTTATTGAATGCTGGACATAGGATATTAGAAGGTGTAAAGGTTTTAAGTGATGTTTTTCTTCCTTCAGAGAGAATGTAAATTTCTTATGTTAGGCAGAAAAGAATACGGCAGATCACCTTCATCCTGAAGAAGGTGTTGTTTTAAGCTTTGTTGATCCTGGTTTCTTTTTTTTTTTTTTTTTTTTTTTTTTTTTTTTTTGAGACGGAATTTCGCCCTTGTTACCCAGGCTGGAGTGCAATGGCGCGATCTCGGCTCACCGCAACCTCCGCCTCCTGGGTTCAGGCCATTCTCCTGCCTCAGCCTCCTGAGTAGCTGGGATTACAGGCACGTGCCACCATGCCCAGCTAATTTTTTGTATTTTTAGTAGAGACGGGGTTTCACCATGTGGACCAGGATGGTCTCGATCTCTTGACCTCGGACTCCCAAAGTGCTGGGATTATAGGCTTGAGCCACCGTGCCCGGCCCGGCTAATTTTTCTATCTTTTTTTGTTTGCTTTTTTTTTAAACGGAGTCTCACACTGTCACCCAGGCTGGAGCACAGTGGTGTGATCTTGGCTTACTGCAGCCTCTGCCTCCTGGATTAAAGTGATTCTCCCACTTCACCCTCCCAGATAGTTGCAATTACAGGCACGCACCACTGTGCCTGGCCTAATTTTTGTTGTTTTTTTTTTGGTAGAGACTTTATTCATTTTGGCCAGGCTGGTCTTGAGCTCCTGGGCTCAAGTGATCCTCCTGCCTCGGCCTCCCAAGGTGCTGGGATTATAGGCATGAGCCACCACACCTGGCTCAGTTTGCCTTTACTCTTGTCTGTAACTCTGTTGCTCTCAACTCATAGCTTCAGATTTTGGTTTGGACCCCTCCACCTGAGAAACTGAGAGCTCCAGGGTCTGTTCCTAAGTACTGGAGATGCTCAAATCCCTGCTTAGCCCTGTGGCCTCCTGACCAGGCTTTCCATTTGGCTCCTCTGACCTTGGCTGTGTGGCTTGTGTGCCAGGAAGCACCATAAGGGGAAGTGCACACAGAAATTTGGGCTCACTAGTCTTCCTTTCTGGGTCTTGGTCCAGTAAGTCCCAGCCGCTTAGGCGGCCCAGATTCCAGCTTGTTTTTAGGGAGTCCAGGCATGCGGAGGCTTCAGACCGTCTCACCCCTTGCTTTAGCGGTCGCCCCAGGGGAGAAGGCAGAGGTACGAGTTGGTCTGATTGTTCTCTTTTCTCTGAATTTTGGCTCCTTAAGTCCTGGCTACTTGGATGCTCTTTGATGCCCTCAAATAAATGTTCTTTTTGTTTGTTTGGGTTTTTTTTGTTGATTGGTATTTGGGATGCCAGGTTCGGCTGTTTCATCATTTCTCTGAGGATATTAATAATAGTTTTTCTTGTTTCTCTGAGGATGTTCGTTTTCTTGTTTTTAGAGGGACGGTGGTTTATTTTGAAGCTTTCCTCATCTGTGTGGGAGAAACGGGCTTTGCGCTTTTCTGTTTGTTTTGGCTTCTCTCCACTGCACTGGACAGGAAACTCCTGCAGCCAGGCTTCAACTTCAGTCTTGCCTTTACCCCACTGCAGAGAGACTCTTTGTACCTTTTGAGCATTCTGTGCTTTAAGCTGAATTGCTTTTTAATGTTTGATCACAGCTGATGTGTAGTATTCAGGTTTCTTGGATCTGTGTATCAGTTATTAGCCTTTGCTTTCTGACTTATAAAGTATTGTTATCTTTGGTCCTCTTTTTTTTTTTTTTTGAGACAATCTCACTCTGTTTCCCAGGCTAGAGTGCAGTGGCTCGAACTTGGCTCATTGCAACCTCCGCCTCCCAGGTTCAGGCGATTCTCCTGCCTTAGCTCCCCAGGTAGCTGGGATTACAGGCATCTGCTACCATGCCCGGCTATTTTTTGTATATTCAGTAGAGGCGGGGTTTCACCATGTTGGCCAGGGAGGTCTCAAACTCCTGACCTCAAGTGATCTGCCCTTCTTGGCCTCCCAAAGTGCTGGGATTAAAGGTTTGATCCACTGCACCTGGTGTCTGTTCTTAATTTTGTACATTTGTGTCTTTAAAAATCCTATTACCGTGTATTAGTGGAGTTTGAGGAAGGAAGAGTATATTCATGTGACCTCTGTGCCTCAGTTTCCTCATCTGAAGATGCAGGTGGTAGTATCTGCGACACAGGGTAGTTGAGTGCAAATTGCTGAGAAAAATGCCCGGCCCGCTGTTCCACACAGTTACTGGCTGTTACCATGCTGCTGGCTTCAATTCTCCGTATCAACCAGAACCCCAACGGTATCTTTCAAGTTACCCAGTTGATTTCCTGGTTACTCCAGCAGTTGTCTGCAAATTTTAAAAAAAGTTTACCCCTTTTAGGGAAAACCTGATGAATAACTCTTTTCTTTTTAAGATGGAGTTTTGCTCTTGTTGCCCAGGCTGGAGTGCAGTGGCGCATTCTCGGCTCACCACAACGTCCACCTCCTGTGTTAAAGCGATTCTCCTGCCTCAGCCTCCCAAGTAGCTGGGATTGCAGGTGCCCATCACCACGCCGGGCTAATTTTGTATTTTTAGCAGAATCGGGGTTTCTCCATGTTGGTCAAGCTAGTCTCAAACTCCTGACCTCAGGGGATCCGCCTGCTTCAGCCTCCCAAGGTGCTGGAATTACAGGCCTGAGCCGCTGCTCCCAGCCACATCTATAAATTGTTGGGCATTCAGGGCCACCTCGTGGTTTCTCCTCCCCCGTTTTGGTCTCTGTTCTGATCCCACTGTCCCTGTTGCCTTGTGAGTTAGAACACTTCAGTAGGCATGAAATGCTGCTTCAGAAATGTTAGGGGTGTGACAATTTGTGACTCTGAAGCACACATTAATCTTCAGTGTGTACATTTAAGTAAACTTTGTGGTTGAGTCTGCTAGGGCAGCAAAATGAAGCTGATTTTTATTTCCAGGTCATACCTTTTCTCCCTATCGAGCTTATATTGTTTTGGATACTGTGTTTAAGAGCAGCTAACCAGCCACGTACGGTGGCTCATGCCTGTAATCCTAACACTTTGGGAGGCCAAGGCAGGTGGATCACGAAGTCAAGAGATCGAGACCATCCTGGCCAACATGGTGAAACCCCATCTGTACTAAAAATACAAAAATTAGCTGGTCGTGGTGGCACTCACCTGTAGTTCCAGCTTCTTGGGAGGCTGAGACGGGAGAATTGCTTGAACCTGGGAGGTGGAGGTTGCAGTGAGCCGAGATTCTGCCACTGCACTGAAGCCTGGCGACAGAGCAAGACTGTCTTAAAAAAAAAAAAAGAGAGAGAAAGCAGCTAACCATTTTGACTCATGTTAACTTTTCTTTGCCTCCTTCAGGTTTTGTGGTCTTTGCAACCCTTGTGGTCATTGTGGCCTTGATACTAATCTTCGTGGTGGGTCCTCGCCATGGACAGACAAACATTCTTGTGTACATCACAATCTGCTCTGTGATCGGCGCGCTTTCCGTCTCCTGTGTGAAGGGCCTGGGCATCGCCATCAAGGAGCTGTTTGCCGGAAAGCCTGTTCTGCGGTACCCGCTGGCCTGGGTGCTGCTGCTGAGCCTCCTCGTCTGTGTGAGCACACAGATTAATTACCTGAATCGGGCCCTGGATATATTCAACACTTCTATCGTGACTCCAATCTATTATGTATTCTTTACAACATCTGTTTTAACTTGTTCAGCTATTCTTTTTAAGGAGTGGCAGGATATGCCTGTTGATGATGTCATTGGTACTTTGAGTGGCTTCTTTACAATCATTGTGGGGATATTCCTGTTGCATGCCTTTAAAGACGTCAGCTTTAGTCTAGCAAGTCTGCCTGTGTCTTTTCGAAAAGACGAGAAAGCAATGAATGGCAATCTCTCTAATATGTATGAAGTTCTTAATAATAATGAAGAAAGCTTAACCTGTGGAATCGAACAGCACACTGGCGACAGTATCTCCCGAAGAAATGGAAATCTGACAGCTTTTTAAGAAAGATGTAATTAAAGGTTAATCTGTGATTGTTATGAAGTGAATTTGAATATCAGAATGTGTCTGAAAAAGCATTGTCCTCAAATAATGTTCTTTAAAGGCAATCTTTTTAAAGATTTCACTCATTTGGACCACGAAATTACTTTTTTCTTCTATTTAAACAATGGTAGCTCACTAAAATGACCTCAGCAACATTGTATTGTTGTAGAAGTATTTTACATTTTCATCCCTTCTCCAAAATCTGAATGCACTAATGACAGTTTTAAGTCTATAAAAATGTTTTATTTTTCCATTGGTGATGAAAGTCTGAAATGTGCATTTGTCATCCCCATTCCATCAATCCCTGACCATATAAGGCTTTTTTATTTTAAAAAAGAACACAGTTATCCCAATACATTATCCTATGATTTACCTTACCTATAAAAGTGGCTCCTGTTTGATGATTGGTTTTATTTTTGAAATATTAAGGGAAAACTAAGTTACTAAAGGAAGGAAACTCTTACAAGACAAAAAAAAGGGTGGAAATCACCACAAGGAATTATTTCTCAGGTTGTGATTTATCACCGTGAATCCGGCTTCCTGTGTGCATTCGATGGCCGCCTTAGCACCTTCTCAGACCAGCGCCTCCTGCCTGTTGTTGCAACCTGGCTGGGTTTGTTCTTCAGTTACCCGAATCCCATGCTGCCTGGAACCTTGATGATGACCGTTTTATATCAGCTCTTGTACTTTTCAGTATATTTTCATAATGAATTATATTGTCATTTAGACTTGGAACAGCTCTCGGAAATAGACTAGGGTTATCTCTTAAATTTAGCTCCTGTTACAATAAAAAGTTGAAAAGAAGCTCTTTTCTAAGTCTGAATGCTTAGAACAGACTTAAAATGTTTATAAAATATCGTCTGTTTGTACCAGGTACTTTGCTTAAGAGCTCCTTTGGGCCACTATATATTTTGGTTTCTAGAAAATGTTTATGAAGAAGTTGATGGAAAATTGCAAACACATGCAGAAAAGGTAGAATAATACAAAAGGTCTAATGAACCCACCCCTTGCAGCTGTTGAACCTGTCCACTCATAACCACTGACTGGCCTTTAGTATCGGCAGAGTTAATTTCCACCTGGTGATGGGAAGAGAACGTTCATCTGTTCCAGTCGGTGGTTCCTGCCTGGAGGTCACCCAAAGGTGTGCTACCAAACCTTGGGTCCCCAAGAGCCTCCCACGCTGACGGTGCTGGCATCCCATGCTGCTCACCATTGGCTGCATGGAAAGTCCCTTTTTTCTGAGTTTAGTGTTGGCCTTCTAAGGAGCTGTTCTAGATGTTTTTTCCTAACTGCATCTTCTGTGTCATTTAATACTACAGATGTACTCTATATCTGTTTATATACTGTACCTGCATCTGTGCTTTGTATATAAAAGAACCAGTTTTCACCCCCTTGAGGATAGAGCCCTTGTTGAACAAACAAAGGTTAATAACAAAAATGTTTTTTCTAATAAAAAATTCTTAGTGAACATTTTATAGCACTTGAGATTGTCTTATACGTAAATATTACATTATATATTTGGTATGTAATTAAGCCTTATAAAACTTGGTAATTTTTTTTTTTTTTTAGACAGAAGAGTCTTGCTCTGTCGCCAGGCTGGAGTACGGTGGCACAATCTCAGCTCCCCGCAACCTCCGCCTCCCGGGTTCAAGTGAGTCTCCTGCCTCAGCCTCCCGAGTAGCTGGGACTATAGGCATGTGCCGTCACGCCCAGCTAATTTTATATTTTTTACTAGAGATGGGGTTTCCCTGTGGTGGCCAGGATGGCCCTGATCTCTTGACCTTGTGATCTGCCTGCCTCTGCCTCCTAAAAGGTTGGGATTATAGGTGTGAGCCACCGCACTGGGCCAAAACTTGGCAATTTAAATGACAGTAATTTTTCCATCTGTTTGTGTCCTCTCATTTCCTTGAGCAGTGGTTTGTACTTCTCCTTGAAGGGGTCCTTCACATCCCTTGTTACTTGTATTCCTAGGTGTTTTATTCTCTTTGTAGCAATTGTGAACGGGGGTTCGCTCATGATTTGGCTCTGTTAGTCTGTTATTGGCGTAGAGGAATGCTTGTGATTTTTGCACATTGATTTTTTTATCCTGAGACTTTGCTGAAGTAGCTTATCAGCTTAAGAAGCTTCTGGGCTGAGATGATGGGGTCTTCTAAATATACAGTCAGTTCATCTGCAAACAGGTACAATTTGATGTCCTCTCTTCCTATTCGAATACCCTTTATTTCACTCTCTTGCATAATGGCCCTAGCCAGAAATTCCAATGCTGTGTTCAATAGGAGTGGTGAGAGAGGGCATTCTTGTCTTGTGCTGGTTTTCAAAGGGAATGCTTCCAGTTTTTGCCCATTCAGTATGATACTGGCTGTGGGTTTGCCATAAATAGCTCTTATTATTTTGAGATATATCCATCGATACCTAGTTTATTGCGTTTTTAGCATAACGGGCTGTTGAATTTTGTCACAGGCCTTCTCTGCATCTTGAGACAATTGTGGTTCTTCTTTGGTTTTGTTGATGTGATGGATTACGTTACTAGATTTGCATATGTTGAACCAGCCTTGCATCCTCAGGGTGAAGCTGACTTGATCGTGATGGATAAGCTTTTTAATGGGCTGTTGGATTCATTTTGCCCAGTATTTTATTAAAGATTTTTTTCTATCAGTGTTTGTCAAGGACATTGGCCTGAAATTTTCTTTTTCAGTTGTGTCTCTGCCAGGTTTTGGTATCAGGATGATGTTGGTCTCATAAAATGAGTGAGGGAGGACTCCCGCTTTTTGTATTGTTTGGAATCGTTTCAGAAGGAGTGGTACCAACTCCTCTTTGTACCTCTGGTAGAATTTGGCTGTGAACCCGTCTGGTCTATTAATTGCTGCCTCAACTTCAAAGCTTGTTATTGGGCTGTTCACGAATTCAACTTCTTCCTGGTTTAGTTTGGGAGGGTGTATGTCTCCAGGAATTTACCCATTTCTTCTAGATTTACTGGTTTATTTGCATAATGGTGTTTGTAGTAGTCTTTGATGGTAGTTTGCATTTCTGTGGAGTTGGTGGTGATATCCCCTTTATAATTGTTTTATTGCATCTATTTGAATATTGTCTCTCTTCCTTTTTATTAGTCTGGTTAGTGGTCTGTTTTGTTCATCTTTTCAAAAAACCAGCTCCTGGAATTACTGATTTGTTGAAGGTTTTTTGTGTGTGTCTGTATATCCTTTAATTCTGCTTTGATCTTAGTTATTTCTTGCCTTCTGCTGTTGAATTTGTTGGATCTTGCTCCTTTAGTTCCCCTCCCCCCACCCCCGAGATGGAGTCTTGCTGTCACCCAGGCTGGAGTGCAGTGGCACAATCTGGACTCAGTGCAACCTCCGCCTCCCGGGTTCAAGCAGTTCTCCTGCCTCAGTCTCCCAAGTAGCTGGGATTACAGGCACCTGCCACTACGTCCAGCCAACTTTTTTTGCATTTTTAGTAGAGATGGCATTTTACCATGTTGGCCAGGCTGGTCTCCACTCCTGACCTGGTGATCCGTCCGCCTCAGCCTCCCAAAGTGGTGCGGTTACAGGCATGAGCCACTGCAACCAGCCTCCTCTAGTTCTTTTAATTGTGACGTTGGATTTTGTATCTTACCGTGCTTCTCTGGAGGCATTTAGTGCTATATATTTCTCTCTAGACACTGCTTTAAATGCGTCCCAGAGTGTCTGGCACGTTCTGTCTTCATTCTCATTGGTGTTGAAGAACATCTGTGTCTCTGCCTTCATTACTGATTCCGTAGTCATTCAGGAGCAGGTTGTTACTTTCCATGTAATGGTGTGGTTTTGAGTGAGTTTCTTAATCCTGAGTTCTAATTTGATTGCACCGTGGTCTGATAGACTGTTAGGATTTCCGTTCTTTTGGATTTGCTGAGGAGTGATTTACTGCCGCTTATGTAGTCAACTTTAGAGTAAGTGCGATGTGCTGAGAAGACTGTGTATTCTATCGTTTTGGGGTGGAGAGTTCTGTAGATGGCTATTAGGTCTGCTTTGTCCAGATCTGAGTTCAAGTCCTGGATATCCTTGTTAATTTTCTGTCTCATTGATCTAATATTGACAGTGGAGTTTTAAAGTCTCCCACAGTTATTGTGCCAGAGTCTAAGTCTCTTTGTAAGAACTTGCTTTGTGTGTCTGGGTGCTCCTGTATTGGGTACATATTTAGGATAGTTAGCTCTTGTTGTTGCATTGATCTCCTTACCATTATGTAATGCCGTTCTTTGTCTCTTGATGTTTGTTGGTTTAAAGTCTGCTTTATTGGAGACCAGGACTGCAGCCCTGCCTTTATTTGCTCTCCAGTTGCTTGGTAAGTATTCCTCTATCCCTTTATTTTGAGCCTTTGTGTGTCTTTGCACGTCAGATGGGATTTCTTTTCATCTTATTCTATAGATAAGCATAGCCGCCACCTCTAAATCTGCAGCAGAATGCTGGCCCCAGGGTTATTTACATTACCAAAAGCATTTTTAGGGAATTTTTTTATAAGGAAAGATGGTTGTGTTCAGCTGCTTGTCACTCAGGTTTGGCAGTACAGCAGGATGGTTCACTTTCTTTATTAATTTTGAGACGGAGTTTCACTCTTGTTACCCAGGCTGGAGTGCAATGGCGCGATCTCGGCTCACCGCAACCTCCGCCTCCTGGGTTCAGGCAATTCTCCTGCCTCAACCTCCTGAGCAGCTGGGACTACAGGCACGCGCCACCATGCCCAGCTAATTTTTTGCATTTTTTAGCAGAGGCGGGGTTTCACTATGTTGACCAAGATGGTCTCGATCTCTTGACCTCATGATCCACCCGCCTCGGCCTCCCAAAGTGCTGGGATTACAGCCTTGAGCCACCGCGCCCTGCGGTTCACTTTCTTTTCTGTGCCATGTGTGATGCTTCTGGAGTTTCCAAAGGCCTATGGAAAAGTCAGTAGGCGAGGCCCACTTTTTATGGGAACGTGGCATCCACAGAAAATGTCAGAATTGAAGAAAGTTGCAGTACTCCAAATAATATAAAACGACTGCCAGGTTACGCCACAAGGTGAGTTCAGTTAACATGCTGGCCTGTGTTTCTCTGTAGTATTTGTTTACAATAGACAGGCCTCACTTTTTTTTTTTTCCAGTTAGGCTTTTCAGAACCTCACTGCCTTAATACTTTCAGGTTTGGCTTTAGTTTCTCAATTCTAAACATGTTGATGATTCTACGGGTCGTCTAAACTGACTATCTTTCATTCTGACAGGTCATGTGGCCCAGCTTCAGCCATGTGAGCCCTGTGTAATGAGGGGAACAGATGAAGGCTGGATTGAAGTGCCCCCCGGCCCCTTTCTGGAGCACCCACTGTCCCTGGCTGATCCCCTCCCACAGTGCAGGCCTCCTCCAGCTCGTGGGTACAGGGAACAGGCACCGAGCAGCCTCTCCATGTCGAGCTTCATGTCCAGATTGGAACAGCCCACATGGCCGTTCCATACCTCATTGGCCTGCGGAATCCTACGTAAAAGGTGCAGGTCTGAGCTGGGCCTGTTGTGCGAGTTCCTTGCCAAGCCAAGCAGCACAGGTCTGTAAGTAAATAACAGCGAACACAGATAGACCTCACTGGTTTTATTTCTCTATCCTTTTGGTCTGATCTCATGTTAGATTTTGTCACAACTGGATTTAGTGGAAGCAGGAGAATCAAGTTCATTGTCTTCTGAAACACTGATACATAAAAGGGATGGATACAGTGACTCAGAACTAAGATTGTTCATAAAAGACCGCGAGAAAGACCCTAAACAAAAGCTGAATAGTTACATTCAATGGTAACTGGTAAGGGATTTAATATGTTTGCTGGTATTACATTTCTTTTGGAATGAATCGTAGCTAGCTGCCAGAACATCCCATAGAAAAGACAGTGATTTTGTACGAATGTGATGGCAACAATCAGCAGCCAGTATGCTCAGAGTTCCTAATTAACAAAAGCATATACAATTTTAGTCTAGAAAAATAAGTCAATTTTACAAAATTAAGCTTTTAGATGAAAAGCACCCCCTTTGACAGGTACAGAGATACTGAAAAATAGTCCCTAAAAATCTCACCGAATACCCAGAGAAAAGCATGCCACGCTGAGTTACGGAGTGCAGCCCGTGCCCTCAGCTGCTGGCCAAGGACTGGTGGATGGGCGGCTGGAAGCAGCGCACGTGCTCCACTGGGGTGCTCTCCCCGTCGCCCGACTTCAGGTACTTATCCAGGATGGTGATGATCTCATCATTGAGAATCTGGAACTTGCGAATTCTCTCCACCATCTTCTTCAAAGGCTACAACCGTGAATATTAGGATGTTTTACTATTAACACCTGAACATTCATTTATTCTTCATGTTTCACAATGTTAAGATTCTTATATTTTCTCAGAAAAATAATAGCAAACGGAATTGACACTCATACTTGTTTTTTTTTTTTTAAGACAGATAGGGTGTCACTCTAATGCCCCGGCTGGCATGCAGTGGCATGATCAGCGCCCACTGTAGCCTCACCCTCCTGGGCTTAGGAGATCTTCCCACCTCAACCTCCTGAGTAGCTGGGATCACAGGCATGTACCACCACATGCAGCTAATTAAAAATTTTTTTTTTGTAGAGGTATGGTCTGTTGCCCAGGATGGTCTTGAACTCCTGACCTCAAGCAATCCTCCTCTGCCTCAGCCTCCCAAACTGTTGAGACTATAGTTACGAGCCACCACTCCCAGCCACATCCCATCTCTTTAATGCAACAGATGGAACAATGAATATATTTTGAATTTAGAATTCCTCTGTTGGTTTCCTGCTGCTGTAGATTCATTCATGTGCACAACTTACAGGCCTATTCCTTCTGCATCAGCAATTAAGAACCTACTGTGTGCACAAAGCTGGGGATCTACAGATGAAGATGATGATGTCAGTGGACAAAGGCCCGTCAAGTAACACAAGTTTTAGACTTCCAGTGTGGAAATACTGACAGGATACTTTGACAGATCCCCCTCCTGCTGCAATAGGAATAGAGAATGTGAATAAAGAACATCCACACAAACCAAAAACTTTGAAAAGCACTGCTGGTTCTGCCCGTGGCAGGTGGTCAGGGGGTAGCCAGTGCCCTGAGTGGATGTGCAGATGCAAGTGCGTGTCTTGGGAGGAAAGCAATCTACATTAAGTCCAATTAGATATAGACCCCCCAGTAACCCGACACACGAGGAAAGAGAGTTTTAAACACCGCCAAGGCCTTCAGATATTAGAATGAAAAGATACAGAATACAGAATACATGAACTGGATAAAGAAGTAAGAGATGGAAAAAATTCAGTTAAGACAATAAAACTGTCAGTTAACAGCAAGATTTGAAGAGCTGAGGAAAAGGTCAGCAGATTAGCGCTGAAGTGAGAGCTCACGAAGACACGTGAAGACAGTACTCTGGATACAGCTCTGGGAGCCGTGGGAATAGTGTGGGACCACGAGGCCCATGACCTGGAGTCTGTGACTGCGGGGCCTCTGCTGCACAGAGCCTGGGTGGGAGTGTTAAACCTGGACTGTTAGACACAGAGAGTATCTGGGTTGTCCTCTCAGTATCATCAGATCGGGAATGTTCTCTGGCTGGCAGCAGAAGACTAGAAGCTGAAACTGCCCGACCCACCGTTGCTGGAGGGAGCCACCTGGAAAGATGAGCAGGAAGGGTGACCCAGTCCTAGAGCTGCAAGCTGTGCCTAAGACTGAAGGCCTCCAGGGTGAACACAACACCTTGGACACATTGATTTTGGCTTCATGAAACCAAGCAGATGACCTAGCTGAGCCCGGCTGCACCCTGGCATCTGACTTAAGAGAACCGTGAGATCATCAGTGGTGTTTAAATTGCCAAGCCTGTGGTGATTTGTTGTTATGGAAGCAACAGAAAACTAATACGACAGGGCTGGGTGCGGTGTCTCACGCCTGTAGTCCCAGTATTTTGGGAGGCCAAGGTGGGTGGAGCACCTCAGGTCAGGGGTTCAAGATCAGCCTGGCCAACATGGTGAAACCCCATCGCTACTAAAAATGCAAAAATCAGCTGGGTATGGTGGCGGGCACCTGTAATCCCAGCTACATGGGAGTCAGGAGAATGACTTGAACCCGGGAGGCGGAGGTTGCAGTGAGCCGAGATTGGGCCACTGCACTCCAGCCTAGGCAACAAGAGCAAAACTCTGTCTCAAACAAAACAAAACTAATTCAACAGAGGGATGTGAAGAATGGAAATGAGAAGGTCTAATACATGTCTAACTGAAGTCCCGAATGGCAGGAACAGGGAGAATGGAAGGGAGGCGAAAATATTTCAAAAGATAATGGCTGAGTATCTTCCAGAATTCAACTATGAGGAAGCCATAAAATGACAAACACAGCAGGCCTTTAAAGCAGCCAAAACGCACACATTTGACTTCTAGGGAGCCTGAAGACTGGAATAGTTGCCAAAGGTCTGAAAATGCAGAATCCTGTAAGACTGGAAGTAAATCTAAGTACCTTGAGAAGGAAAACGGAGCAGTGAGGATTTTCTCTGCCAGTTGTATCTAGATTCATTTTGGGAATGAAAAGAAAGTTTTTGTTGGTGGTACCTTAGGTACTAGGTCAGAAAACATCCACCGAAACAAGAACTTGTAACATAGATAGTGGGAGATTTTCATCCACATACCACATTTTTAATAATCTCGTCTTTGCCGTCGTGTTTCTGGACTTTAAGTAGATGGTAGCAGAAATCCAGCACAGCAAAACGCCGCTGCTGCCCAAGAAGCACGATGATCATACAGCCGGCCCAGTGTAGCCCGTCACCAAAGCACTGCCTAGAAACGAGCAAACAGAACGGGAGGTGAGGGACATGTCACCGAGTCTCTTCTGTCTGCAGATGTCAGTGACCAAGCCGTCTGCACTACTCTGTGCCACAGCCAGGAAGAGAATGCTAGGCAGCAGCCGGCTGTTGCCTCATTTTGGTAAATACCTTTTTTGGGCTATTTTGGTGTGCTACTTCCTAATGCTTTTTTTTTTTTTTTTTTGATTCAGAGTTTCGCTCTTGTTACCCAGGCTGGAGTGCAATGGCGTGATCTTGGCTCACCGCAACCTCCGCCTCCTGGGTTCAGGCAGTTCTCCTGCCTCAGCCTCCCGAGTAGCTGGGATTACAGGCACGCACCACCATGCCCAGCTAATTTTTTGTATTTTTAGTAGAGACGGGGTTTCACCATGTTGACCAGGATGGTTTCGATCTCTTGTGATCCACCCGCCTCGGCCTCCCAAAGTGCTGGGATTACAGGCGTGAGCCACCGCGCCCGGCCTCCTAATGCTTTTTAAGTCATATCCCCTTTGTGGTGAATGACTTACAGACCTCCCACCTAGAAAAATGCATGTCCAGCTCGTATACAATTGCTGTGGTTCGGAGACTCCCAGAACACTAAAGTCCTGAGTGAGCTCTTCAGCATCAAGGCAGAATCCCCACTGAGGAGGCTGAAAGGCCGCTCAGTGAGCTTCTGGTCACTTCCCAAGGAGCATGGCTGGCCTAACACCCTCCCCTGCTGCACAGCCCGTCTCCTCCCCTGGGGCTCTGTCCTGCTCTGAGCACACACTTACTCGACTGTGAACTCGTGTGTCCCCACGGGAATGCAGTACACGAACTGCATGGCACTCCACAGTCTGTGGAACTCCACACACTCGTCCACATGCATGACCCCATTGCTGGGCAGAGGCCCGCGCCAGATCGGGTCGTCCAGAAAGCTCCGGATCCGCGTCAGGATGACCTCAAACATGGACAGGCCGCAGCAGAGGCGCTCCTTGGTCAGCAGGTCCCCCTCTCTCGCGATGGCAATTTGCTGCAGGAGGAACAAGTGGCGGAATGCTGTGGGCCCTGCAGGCATCCAGCTACTCCACGTCCCGTTTGTTTTAAGACAGGATCTCGCTCTGCTGCTGAGGCTGGGGTGCAGTGGCATAATCATAGCTCACTGCAGCCTTGGCTTCCCAGGCTCAAGCGACCCTCCTGACTCAGCCCTCCCAGGGGCTGAGATGACAGATGCATGCCGCCACACCTGGATAATTTTTATATTTTGTGTAGAGACAGGGTTTTGCCATCTTGTCCAGGCTGGTCTCAAACTCCTGTCTTGGCCTCCCAAAGTGCTGGGATGACAGGAATGAACCATGGCTCTTGGCCCTGGAAACACATTTTGGGTGGGGTAGGTTTTGCTGGCATCCTGACTTAGTGTAAGCTGCTGGATCACTGTGGGGCTCTGCCCTGACACCTTGCCTCCTGGCCTCATTTCTTCCATTCTTAAACACCTGTGGAAAAGCCTTCTTCTTGACGGGCTGGACACTGACAAGTGACATCTGTAACAGTCTTACGTGCCAGGTGATGTGCTAAGCCCTTTCCCAGTGTTAGCTCACTTGGAGTCCCCGACCACCCTGGGAAGCAGTCCGGGCGCACTCCCCACTTGCAACACTGAAGCCTGAGCGGCCACGCAGGCATTGGGTTTCACGATGCCCTCCAGTCTGGCTCCCAACCAGGCCACCTGGGCTGACATGGATGCCCAGCTTGCAAAAGCCACAGCCGCCACAGCACACATTACCTGAGGGGTCCCCAGTCTTTCAATCAGTGGGACAAGATGCAGCGGCGCGTACTTTGATTCTAGTCTTTTCATTTT